CTGCTTTAACATTGACCAAAGTTAATTTTTACAGATTTCTTAGGAGAAGCTGCTAATCTGTTTTCCTTCTGATTTTATTAATCAAGATTAATCAATTTTATTAATCAAGGAAAAGACTCAGAGCTTTCTCTCAGCTCTGTCCTGTCAAAAATCAGTCACCCTTACGTAGAGCTTCTTTGCGTATGACACTGAACACTTCTTCAACTCTACCTTTTATATGGGCCATGAGTGTTTTACCAAATGATTAAAAGACGAAGTCTACTTCAAGCTTTCAGGTGTGCCATAGTAGTGGGAAGGTGATGTGGTGGGTTGACCCTGGCTAGATGCCAGATGCCCACAGAATCTGCTCGATCCTTCCCCCTCCTCACAGCTGGACAGGGGAGAGAAAATATAATCAAAGATTTGTGGGTCGAGATAAGGACAGGGAGAGATCGATCACCAATTACCATCACAGGCAGAACAAACTTGACTTGGGGAAGAATGAATTTAATTTATTACAAATCAAATCAGAGTAGGTTAATGAGAAATAAAACCAAATCTTAAAAAAACAGCTTCCCTCCACCCGTCCCTTCTTCCAGGGCTTAGCTTCACTCCTGATTTTCCACAGTGGCCCAGGGGCGTGGCGAATGGGGGTTGTGGTCAGTTCATCACACCTTGTTTCTGCCGCTCCTTCCTCCTCAGGGGGAGGACTCCTCACACTCTTCATGAACTGCTCCAGTGTGGGTCCCTTCCATGGGGTGCAGTCCTTCAGGAACAGGCTGCTCCAGTGTGGGTCCCCCACAGGGGCACAAGTCCTGCCAGCAAACCCGCTCCAGCCTGGGCTCCTCTCTCCATGGGGCCACAGGTCCCTCCAGGCTTCCCACGGGGTCACAGCCTCCATCAGGCCTGTCCACCTGCTCTGCTGTGGTGTCCTCCATGGGCTACAGGCAGATCTGCTCTTAAATATACTATCACAGAGACACTACCACTGTTACTGATAGGCTCGGCCTTGGTCAGCAGCAGGTCCTTCTTGGAGTCGGCTGGCACTGGCTCTGTCGAACGTAAGGGAAGCTTCTAGCGGCTTCCCACAGAACCCCCCTCTGTAGCCGCCCCACTACCAAAACCTTGCCACACAAACCCAATACCACTGGTGATAGAATTATTAATAAAATGTACCTATGGCTGTAGGTAGGAAGCTAGACAGCAGTGGGAAGTTACCTATTACCAGAATTATTCCATGTTATATTTTAGGTAAATTTTGACCATGTTTGAACAATGGTTTTTAAATGTAGGTTATACTGTATTGTTTTTTGATTGATGTTTACTATCTGATTATTTTCCCTTCCTATCTCTGCTAATTTTATCTGTTACATTTACTATGGCTATGTAGTATCTAGCTATTTTAATATATTTTAAGGATTGTTACTAGCTTCTCTAGATGTACTACTGTGGTCTCCTCTCTAGAAGTATTTATCTCTTAGATTGCAAAGATCATATTGCATTTCCTGCCTATTCTGTCTCTGTAAAATACTTGTTCTTTTCACCTTACAGTGTAGTAAGATGATAGACCCAAGTATCTAAGGTAATAGGATACAATGTCCCACTGGCTATTTCCCTTTTGTCTCCACTTCTTACTGTCCTTCCTGACACTATGCATGTAGACTGTACAGCACTGGTGGAAATGAAATTGAGATATTGGGTAATTTCAGACCCATATGATAAGAAACAATCAGGCACTTTAAGTTAATATACCATTAATGGCAGAATGAATCTCCTTTTCCATGTTGTGTGAATCAGCCCAGCTTTTCAGGTACATGGTTTATTGTAACTTTCATAAGCAGCTGCATAAACACATATGTACATATCCACACATATAAATAATCAAAATACTTTTGTAGTTAGAAGCTACTTTACCGCTTCTGTGAATCTGTGCTGTCTCATAATCCTCTTATTTTGAGACTGTAAAGCAGCTCCAAGTAAACCATAGTCCTAATTAGAGCCAGCCAGAAGTTTTAATCCAAAGCTTTTTAACAAACGAACAAAAAGTTACATGGAATTGTTTGCAAAATTTCTATTGATTTCATTGAATCATTTGTGAAATTAGAAAACTCTATCAAATAAAACACTTTTCTAAAAAGGCTTTTAACAATATTTTAAAATATTGTGTAATGTTTAAATGATTCAAAACCAAATCAATACTTCTGATGTTGTTAAATTATATTTCTTATTCAGCACAGGTTTTCTTAGTTGCTGAAAATTTCAAAACCACTATTTTGATCCAGTCAATCTCTCACAATTGCCAAAGAACCAAGTTATTAATATTTGTCCCTCTCCTCATTGACGCTTTTTTCAGAGCCACAGTGGCATTTCTTCAGCTACTGTACACTTTCCTTCTCCATCCTTTCTCACTTTAGAGTGACCCTTTGCTTTGTATTACTTTCCACAGCTGGTTTAGTTTCCTTTGCAGCTGAAGGAAAGGAGATGGCAGGACAGAAGTAAATGACTGCCTGAAGGTCTGGATCTATAGTAGGAATGTGTTGCTTGAAAAGTTTGAGAGAAATCTGGGTATGTGTGAGAGTAGGAGGGATGGGCAGAAGGCCGATGGTGGGGAAAGACAGAGGCTAAAAAAGTTATATTAGTGCAGTAGGAGAAAAAGTATGAAAATCAGTAAGCATAGAAAATACAGTGAAAGCAGGAGAGTGAAAAGAAGTAGGATGGCATTTAGGTGAAGTGGTGCCCAAAGATGCTGTCTTATTGATGTACCAGACGGGAGGGGTTCGCAGTGCTCCTGATCAGCTAGGCTTTCTTCCCGGCCCCAGCGGGTGATTTCTGTGCGGGAATTCACCACTGCAGTGAACACTCAAACTGCCATTCTTCCCTCTTAGTGCTGGTTTTCCTGGATTTAGAAAGAATACACGTAAAATATGTTACTTAAATTTATTTTAGAAAACTGATATGAGCTGTAGTTTAAAATAATCCAGACTGCTGATAATCCAGTCTCAGCAACTGCTGTGGTTGTATGCTGGCTGCGCAACCTCCATTTTTCTACTTCTCTTACTTTGCTATCCCTCCTACTTTCTTTCTCTGTCACCTTCACAGTTTTAACAGCTATGGTCTCATCAGCAGTAGCTGCTATATATTAAAAAGAATTTTTGAGAATCCTGAGACCTGGCGGGTTATATAAAAATCATGTATTTTAGTCCCAGAGTCTCAGTTTAAGCAAGTGTTCGAGCATGCAAAAATTCTTTACCATTGCTGACAAGAATTTATGGATGTGTATCAGTACCATCTAGTGGCAGTAAGACGTACAGCATTTAGCAAGCTCACACAGGAAATGCCAGGTTTGACTTCAATAACCAGGATCCTTCAGCATTCCTAAGCAGTTGCTAGCTGTCACCTGTTTTTCTAAAAGGAGAAAAAAAAAAAAAAAAGGACATGATGGAATTTTAGCTGCAGGCTTCCTTGGTGCCATTCCAAACCCACATAAGTGCAAGATTCTTCACTGGTAATGAATTTTTAATTCTTTCCCGCAGTATTAAACAGGATTATGCCTTTTTGTTTTCTGTAATTAAAAATAAAATCTGGCAGGATTCTGCTGCAGGACCACTTTCATTTTCCTAATTAACCCTTCTGCTGCTACTAGTCAGTGCAGCTTGCAGCTGCAGTTTGCTACACACCACCCATGGCAGAATGCACCAGGTGCATTTGCCTGCAATGGATGAGCATGCTCATCGGGAGGACTGCAGGAGTTGGGATGTGTGTGGATGGCTGTGTAGGTGTAAATGGCTATGTGCATATGGTTGAAAAGGAGGAGAAAGCATCGTGTTTGTTTAGCAGGCTTCAAAAATATGAATTTGTTGCAGCTGGGCTGAAGTATGTGTATTTATCGAGACAGTAAAATGGGATCATGCTGATTGTATTCTAACTTGTGTCATTTTAATTTGATAATTGTTTCTTGGGTGTATTGTCTTACTCAGAAATTGTTACTTTTTATTGCATTTGCTATATTTTTAGTATGGTTACTCAGGAGAAGGACTGTTGAGAAAAATGCTTGAAGGCTACACCAGAGATCCCGTTTATGATTTCAGATCAAAGTATTTGCATTCGGAGTTCTTTTTAACTGAACTGTCTGGAGACATTAAGAAGAGATGGTTCTGCTCTTGTTAGTGAAAATTGTGAAAAATATATACAATTGATATGGTATCAGACGTAAAATATCTAAGTGCAGTATGTAATGATTAAAGATAATTTTTGTTGAATTCAGGAATTCTTCCAGTGCACAGTGTGTTGCCAGGCAGGGGATCTGAATACAGGTGCTGGTGCCTATGCCTGAATCTTGTTTCCTGAGCTAGCAGCTCTGCAAAGGCAGCGTATTTGTACCCGAAGAGTGCTTCCAACTGATCCTTCTGGCCTTAAACGGCAGTAGTGGATTCTAGGAGTCATGTCTGGTCCTTCTAGCTAGAGGGAGGGTTGATCCAAGGTGCAGCTTTCAGGATAAGGAGGAGGTGAATTATCTGGAGTCTTAACACCAAACCAGAAACACTTCAGAACTGTTGATTCCTCACACTGAATGTGATGGAAAATATCTCCTACTTTATTCACTGGAATGGATGTCATTACCCTTGATAGAGGCAAGAAGATGTTATTATATTGTCTGTGACTTTTTTTTTTTTTTATACAGTCTATAGAATTGGCAATCTGTCATCACAAGCAGTAAGTGAATTTTAAGCTGAATGTTTTAAGAATTGATACCCTCAAGACAACTCTAAGAGGCCGGCTGCAAAGGAAAATAGTTTGTCTTGAAATAAAAACAAATGAAAATCCATTTCACAGCAGCTTCCTCTTGGATGATAATTACTGAATTTAACAAGTTGTCCGACAGAAAATTCTGTGGAGGTATATTCCTGTACATTGTTTGTAGCTATTTGTGTTGCTCTAAATTTTTTATGTGTTTTTTATATTTTTAGCACTTTTTTATGAGAGAGAGGCTAAACAGTAATTAAGAAGTGCAGGATGAAAAGATGGCACAATCAGTGCTGGTACCACCAGGACCTGACAGCTTCCGCTATTTCACAAGAGAATCACTTGCAGCTATTGAGCAGCGTATCAATGAAGAAAAAGCGGCAAAATCCAAACAAGAACGTAAAGATGATGATGATGAAGATGGCCCAAAGCCAAATAGCGACTTGGAGGCAGGAAAGACACTGCCATTTATTTATGGCGACATACCTCCAGGAATGGTGTCTGAGCCCTTGGAGGACCTGGACCCATACTATATCAATAAAAAAGTGAGTGTGGTATATATTTCTATCAGACTTTAAGAAGATTAAATTACAAGGAACCCTCACACAGACAGTATTTCCAGTATTGTGGACCTGGTCTTTACATGTAATTCATTCCCCCAGCAGCTGATTTAACTGGCAAAAATCTCAATTGTAAGAACAGAAGTTAGTAATGTAAGTTTGTGGGACCTGGTCTGTAGTCAGAGATGCATTTAGGTTTATTTTAATATACCTGGTATTTTACTAAAATCTGTAACTTTCAGTGTTTTACATGCAGGAGAGTAGAAAAAGTAGCATGGGGTTATCTTTAGATTTCTTATTTTATTAATTGCTGTATTATAAATGTGAAAGGAGCAGCTGTTCAGTATGAAACCCATCTCAAAGGTTGCTAGACACCTTCTCACTAGCTTTCTTCACTGTCACATGGAAAGTCTAGGTTGCATTCTCTTGTTGCTGTGATGAATAGGGAAGTATGTAAAGGTAATTTCTCAGGATATGCCAAAAAACTCCCTCTTCCATTCTGTACTCTATAGAGGCATCATATATCTGACTTAGGTAGTCTGGGTGAAAAATTTTTCATATCCAGATTTATATTGTTCTATGATTGTTATCAAAGAGGAGGTGTTTAAAAGAGGGAAATAAATAAAGATGAGGTAGGAATTCCTCTTGGCGTGTCAATAGACTGTTACGTAATTTAAAAAATATTTTATAGAGATGTTCATTATTTAAAAAATAAAACCACATTTTATTTTTGTTTAAAGTAACTCAAGCACAAAAGTGCTGAACTTTAGGCTTTTGACCAGATGGCCTTGGGTGCCCTACAGAATTCCAGTCCCTCAGATTTTGGCATCATATGTATTGCACCATTGTTATTCTACCAGTAAAGAAGAAATTATCAATATTTTTTATTATTTTTGAGTCTTCATAATTGCTTTCTTGTGCTTTCTTTTCTTTCCTGTGGAAATTAGCTAGTGAATAAAAACAAGTGAAGTAAAAAAAAAAAAAAAAGGCAAAAAAACTGCTTCAAAGAAAAAGCAAGAAAACACCCAAGAATTGTTAGGAGTCGAACTAAGTAAAAAATACAAATGAAGATATTTCCTGCAAGGATTAGGGGTATGCCTCATCACTAATATGTTGAAAAAAATAACAATATAGGCATACCATGATAAAGTAAACAGAGAGAACAAGCTTTTAAAAAAATCAGCTGTACCTTAAATGTTCATTGCAGAATTTCTAAAACTCAATTAATGCTGTGGAGAACCATGAGTTAAATTTGAAAGCAATATTTTCATTAGATATGGTGCTCTGCTCCCTTTACTCAAGTGATTTACTGTTGAAATCTGGAAGTAAGGCAAATGGAATTTGGGTCAAAATGCTGGTCCTTTTCCTTCCTTCTTTCCCGGTTCTGCAGTAGTAGATATCTAAATTCAGAGATGGAAATCCTAAACTTATCACATGTATTATCATGCTTTGGAAACCAGAAAAATAATTCTGCAATCAGCTGTGGACACGAAGTAAAATCCTGCTTAATTGCTTGTTCCTGATTGCAAAACACATAACAGTTGTCTTGATCTTTTCCAAAAGCATAGTGCTTTCTAGTGGGAGATGTAAGACTCCAAACTGTATGTGCGTTGCAATCATAATTTCTTCTATTATTTTTCCAGGTGTTCTTTGCATTTCTTTGAACATCCTTTTTTAGGTCAGGCCCCATTTTAATTTTCAGCATCACACAAATGGTGCTTCATCAGAGGTTTTGTCAGAGTAAAGGGAACAGAAAATATTTGAAAAACTCTAATTAGAGGGCAGCTTTTCTTGATCTCCAGGAAGAATAGTAATAGAGTTGAAAAGCAATGGTAGCAAAGGCAGTACCTTATAGACCAGTCCTATCTCCTCTACAATAAATGTGGCTTAGAGAATCAATGGATATCTGGGTATACAAATATGTTCAGTTTGGAGGAGCTGAAATTTATTACTTCAGGCAGGAGGAGGCATTGTGTTTTCAGGATTTCAGCTGCTGTATTTGGCACACCTGCTCAGAAAGTAGAGCATAATCTTTACAAATGCTTCCCTCTGGTTCCAGCTGAGGCAGATCATGGCTACTGGCAGTGCTCCAGGTTTGCATGGCTCATATTCCCTTTGGGCTTTTTAGGGCTGCCACAATGCTAGCTAGAACCACTTACCTTCAATGAGCATGACATTTCACCTGTGTGTAGAAAGAAGAGATGATAGAAATAGATAGGAATTTCCCCAAATCTATGAAAATTAAATATTTAAAAACTTACTGCATGTTAAATAATGGCTTTATTATTCTTTATTTCCCACTCTTTAAGAAAATTATTACATTTATAAATGCTTTTTAAATGTTGGCAGTATACATGAGTTATTGCTGAAACTGTGTAGAGAAATAAATGGACTATTGAATTCTGCATTAGGTAAACGTAAAGCGTGACATAAGAAAAATAGACAGAATTGCAGGTATGAAACTCTCACAAGAAACAGTTGAAAAGAGAAGCAATATGCTATTCTTTTCTTAGAGTACAGCAAAAGCTATCCAGTACATCAGTGTTATGTTGAAAAACTGGTTATTGAACACCCTTAATTTCCTTATTTTCATGAAGATCACTCTTGAAATCTAGATCCTTTGTAGTACAATTGTCGTGGTACTTTGATGTGATAATTAATGCTGGTTATTTGATTCGGGGAATGTTGAAGTTCTAATGGCTCTGATTTTTTTTTTTATGTTACATACCTCAGTGTATATATTATAAGGTACAAAAAGTATACTAATTATTCACATATTACATATATTAGTACCTTATATACCTGTCTTTGTTTTCTAGCAATATCAGGGTTACTTATGGTTTCTCAATAAACTTATTCAAATGTTTTCATGCAATTGTATTTATAGTAATTTGGCTGGACTCTACTATGGAGTACTGTGTTCAGCTGTGGGGCCCCCAACATAAAAAAGACCTGGACCTGTTGGAGCGAGTCCAGAGGAGAGCCATGAAGATTGTCAGAGGGCTGGAGCACCTCCCCTATGAGGACAGGCTGAAAGAGTTGGGGTTGTTCAGCCTGGAGAAGAGAAGGCTCCAAGGAGACTTAATAGCAGCCTTCCAGTACCTGAAGGGGGCTACAGGAGAGATGGGGAGGCACTCTGCATCAGGGAGTGCAGTGAGAGGACAAGGGGTAATGGGTATAAACTGAAAGAGGGCAGATTTAGATTAGATGTTAGGAAGAAATTTTTTCCTGTGAGGGTGGTGAGACACTGGCACAGGTTGCCCAGGGAAGCTGTGGATGCCCCATCCCTGGAGGTGTTCAAGGCCAGGCTGGATGAGGCTTTGAGCAACCTGGTCTAGTGGAGGGTGTCCCTGTCCATGGCAGGGGGGTTGGAACTTGATGATCTTTAAGGTCCTTTCCAACCCAAACCATTCTATGATTCTGTGTGTGAACTCGACAAGGGGATTGTGATTCTGGGGGACATGTAAATGGAAGAAGAGTTTGACCAAATATGATTTATGATGAAATGGAAATGATTCTGGGTTTGAACTTGTAACTTGTTTGTAACATGGAATGTTTTAAATGCTATTTTTGATTCTGTGTTTCTTTTTCCAGACCTTTATAGTATTGAATAAAGGGAAGGCAATATTCCGATTCAGTGCCACCTCTGCCCTGTACATGTTAACTCCTTTCAATCCTCTTAGAAAAATAGCTATTAAGATTTTGGTACATTCATATCCTTTTCAAGTGGTTAGTCTAAAACTGTAGTGAATGAGATGTTACTTAGTTTTTAAATCATTCTCTGGCACGTGTCCCTGGATCAATATGATCTATAGTGCTTTGTCCCTCTTCTGTCTACTATTTCTGTATTCTGTTCTTTTTCTTATTCCCTTTTAACGTTTGTGTTCATTGCTGGATCTTAATGTAGTAATATCAGAAGCCAGACAACCAGTCATCGTCCTTTGCAATTTCTTCCTGTGTGTTTCTTCCCCCGCCTATTTTTTCACTTCCCTCTTATTTTTCCTATAATCATCACATCTTTTTTAATCTTTTCCCCTCCTCCACATTTTTCATAAACTGCAGGTATATTGCTCAAAATACTTTCAATTCTTCACTGTCACTTTATTTTAAAAATCAAATCTTTGATCACAGGTTTTATTATTCCTTTTTATTTTCTGATTCAGATCACAATTGCAGAAGGATAAGTTGATAAAACTGCTTAGGTTTCTTGTTTTATTATACATTCTCAGTCCTATATGTATCTTACCTGTCTGTTTTATTTCTTGGTCGTTATTGCATCATGAACTCGTCATCTTGTAGATGTGTAATCTCAGTCTTCAAGTAGGTCATGAGATTTCCACATTGCAGATAGAGATTTGCAAAACTAAATGATCATAATGACTTACGTATTTTTTTGTCTTTTCCAGTGTTCTGGTAGCTGACTACAGTAGGCATCCTGCTAGTCTGATCCCAAATGCTGGTACAAGCAATGAGGGCATTGACTTCAGCAAGTCTGCTTACTTTAAGAGCAAATACAAATGCTCACACACTTATATTTTACAAGAGCCAAACATAAGTGCATGGAAAGCAGTTTTGGGTAACATTACATATAGGGATCCTAAGATCATGTAGAATAAAACTTGAAAGAATTTTTTTAAATCTTGGTGTAATGGAAGTCTGATAATTACAGTGGTTGTTATGTGTTGGATGTTGTTATCGATGGCTAGCCTACAAATTACTTCAGAACACTACATAGCCTGTTTTGTATTTGCTTGCTACAGGTGTCACTACAAATAATTATTTGTCAATTATGTGACACTCCTTAGCATGTTATAGAGCATTATTCAATTACATGGAATAATAGAAGATCAGGGGAGTGAGATGGTGATGAAGAGCTAGAGTCACCAAAGTCAGAATTTTAAATGTTTAGAATTGTGGGAAGGTATAGTGTAGTTTTTTCTCCACTGATGAAAGAATTGTGATGATTTGCAAGTCTGAGAGGACATTTCATCAAAAAGGATTTTGAAAGCCTATGTAAAATACAGGCTTGTGAAACACAACACATTATTTTTTATGGTTTTTAAAATACCTTTCTTTCTCTCCTGCTCTTTTCCTATATGAATTATATATTGAGCAGATAAATTCTCAGTGAAGGATTTGGAATATATTTACTGAGCAGAAAACCCGAAGAATTTTTGAGTGTAATGCCACAGTTTGACAGTTCAGAAGGCAGAGGTATTTACTGTCACTTAAAGTTTTTTTCATTAATGTAGACATGCAAAGAAAACTTTGTGAGGGGAACCCCCCAGTACTTCCCACCGAATTGTACTCTTATTTCTATTGAGCAGCACCGTGTGAACCTGCCTTTTGGTTACGGAAGCTAAAGCTCTTCTCAAAATTGAGCTTTGTCCTCTTTCTAGTTTTAGATGATGGTGCCATCAGGTGGACATTTTGTGCATCTTCTCTGTGGTTTTCATTTTCGTGTTTGTATTTTCATTTCTAAGAAGGTCATCAGTCCTTAAAGGTTGTACATCCAGAGGAGTTCTGTTAAAGGCAGTGACCTGTTCTAGAATTCTTTTTGGATTTCTTTTTTTAATAATATAATGTGCCTTCCCCTCCACCAACATTTATATTAGAAAAGCCATATATAAAGCAAACAGAAATAAAATATTTTTCTCCATAAAATTTCCCTATGCTCTCTCTCTCTCTCCTACTATGTGATAACTAGATTTCAATATATGTGTTATAATGATAACCAAAAATGTTGATACATGCCAAATTTTATGGTGAAACATAGAAGAAAAATGAAGAAAATTTATTTTTCACTGTTTTGTGTGCATGGAGTCTACTCAGATTTGTCTAGATCATCCAAAACAAATGCTTGTTGTGTTATTCCACTAAATTAGAAGATACTACTTCAAACTTTCACATTTTTATTAAAAATAAAGAATCATCTAAGGTCATCTTAAAATTAAGGGTTGGGGGTTTTTTAATATCTTTCAGATTCTCTAATTTTTAGTATGTGATTGTTCTCTTCTAGCTATAAAGTAGGGACTATGGAAGCTTTAATGCATTCGGGGCTTTTCCCTGAGTGTTAACAGAGCAGTGGAGGGATAAATAACTCCTGATAGTGGAAACCTGCCAAAGCAGTGTGCTATTTGATACTCTTGTAATGAGATTTTCTGTCTTACATTCCTTAACTCTTAACCTACATTATTCAGCATGCTTATCATGTGCACTATTTTGACCAACTGTGTATTTATGACCATGAGTAACCCTCCAGACTGGACAAAGAATGTAGAGTAAGTTAAATGGATTTTCTTTGAATAATATTCAGTAATCTGAAATAAACTGCTGTGAATTATTTTATATTAGGATGGCATCCACTGCAGCAGCTACCTTGTTGGCATATCATTTCAAGAGCTATTCTGATGCTATTCTCTTCTGTGTAATATTAAATATGTATCTTTTAAAACACCTCCCTCATTATAAGTTGTTTAATGTCCATCCTCTGTTTGCAGCACTAGATGGGAAATGTAAGAACCGAAGCTCGTCTTATGACCATGCAAAAAAGTGGATTACAAATATTTTCCACTGCATTCTGTGCTATGTCTGTGCAAGAATGTGGGAAAACAGACTCTTCCATCTGTATTGCAATTACCATTACAGATAAAGGGATCATCTAGTCGATGGCAATGTTCACCATAGTGCGGCTCTCCTTTACGGAAGACAATCTAACGATGGAAAGCTTGTATAAAAAATAAGCTATTGAAAAAGTGTTTAAGTGGTTAGCTATTCTTCCCATAGGAAGAGAAAAGATCCAATATGATGTCAGCTAACTGGTGCCAATATACGATTGGTGCATATTTTGTGATAGTTCCAAGGCTGTAGACTGCAGTGTGAAACACTGCTCTGCATGGTGCTTCATTTTTGCAGTAGCATTTTATGCTTCTGCTTCTTCATTCCTAGCTGCTTTGGATGATACGTACCTGTTTAATCTTCAGTAATCAAAAGTGAAATCATAGGTCTGTTAAAGTCAGTGGAGGCACTCTCATTTTGAGTTCAATATGAACATATATGTATTTGGGATGTCTAGCATACAGTAAATAATTATGAATAAAGATAGATAGCTTGAGTATTTCTTCATGTCATTATATTGTGCCATTCAGATACACAACCGAAGTCATCCTCATCTGTTGAGTAAAGTTGTGCAGGAAGGAAATTTTTGGTTTAGTAATTGAACTGAAAAAAATCACACTGGAAAATTGGTTTCAGGTTGGCTCAAGTCTGAAAACCTTTCAAGCCTTTTAAGCAGTTTAATTTGAATTCTTTTCCATTAAAGATATAAATGAAACTAAATTTCAAGATTACATCATTTGGAGATAGAAAATGGAAATTACTCAGAATGCCAGAACTAAATATTTTTACTTTTTTACAATTCAAACACATTTTTTAGTCAAAATGAGTAGCTGAGTTTTATTGGCATTTGTAAATATTTTTGGTTGTTCTTGCACAGGATTTTTCATCTGAAAACTCCCGTTTAATTCCAGTACTATGCCTGTCTTGCTGAATGTGAAGTACTGGGTATGCTTACTCTAACAAAGTCAATGAGGGCTGATGAGGGTGGGCGCATTACCAGCTCATGGTACCAAGCAACATTTCAGCATAAAAATAACATTGAAGAAAGAAATTTTTAGTCTGTAAACAACATAATCCATCCAAGTGTTTGGTTATAACATGGATTCAGATTGGACATAAACATGCACCAATGAAGTAACGGGGAATTTTGCAACTGTCTCATTGGTATAGATTATAGAATTTGAACTGAAGCTATAAGTTGTCATTTGTCTTTTAATCATAATTGATTCCTCTTTCCTTATGGTATAAATTCTGCAGATGTTTAAGGTTGGTTTTAACTTGCCTTAGATTCTTATGTCACTTAAAGAAAAGAAGATAATAAAGCAATGAGAGCATAATGTGTAATGATAACATGTTTGTGTTTCTATAAACTCTGTCTTGCATATTTTCCTCAGATACACGTTCACTGGAATTTACACCTTTGAATCACTCATTAAAATTCTTGCAAGGGGCTTCTGTTTAGAAGATTTTACATTTCTTCGAGACCCATGGAATTGGCTAGATTTCACTGTCATTACGTTTGCGTAAGTCTTCTCTCTGTCTTGTTTTTTTTTTTTAAATCTTTCTGATAGCATGAAATTAGTGACTAAAAATTGCCTCATATTTTGTCAGCCAGAACATTTGGAGCCTGGACTTCCTGCAGTTTCAATATGTTTCTTCTACCTCTTTTACACATTTTGGTATTTCTAACTAAGCATGTGCTGCAGAGGCCAGCATGGTGTGCCAGCCCATTAGGATTGTGAATGCCATCAGCCTGAACTGTTCATATCCTGTCTCCTTTCTGCATACCAGAATGAAAGGAATCCTTCTGACTTCTTGCTATAAGCTTACCAAATTAGGTTTCAAACATCAAATCAATATGGTTTATTTTGCTATAACTTAAGTCTATAGTCAGAAGCATATTTATAACACAGGCAAAATACAGTGAACGGTGAAGAGGTCTTGATCAAAGACCCAAGCAACTAGGATAAAATCTGCCTCAATTCTGAGTAACTGTGATTTAATCCTACAGGTATGTAACAGAATTTGTAAACCTAGGCAATGTTTCAGCTCTTCGAACTTTCAGAGTATTGAGAGCTTTGAAAACTATTTCTGTAATCCCAGGTAAGAAGTAGTTGGTGTAAGGTGTTAGGCCCCTCGTATCTCCAACTGTTATTTGTGTGCTGTCATTGTGTTTGTGTGTGAACTCCCCTATTACAGATATGTGACAGAGTTTGTGGACCTGGGCAATGTCTCAGCGTTGAGAACATTCAGAGTTCTCCGAGCTTTGAAAACAATATCAGTCATTCCAGGTGAGAGCTAGGTTAAACACTGAGGCTGACTTTTGTTCCACAAAGGCTGTACTCACATTTTTAAAGCATACGCCTTGTTTGCTACACATTGTTAACAGAATAAAAAAGCAAGAATCAAGACATGTAATTTTATTTAAATCGATTCTTGCTTTTCTTATATGTTTTTTATTTTCAAAAAAATCAGCCTTTGAGTTTAACAAATTCTTGCATGAGATATTTGCAGTAAACAGCCTATGTGATTTGCATCTTATGACATCAAGCTTTCCTTTACATGTTTTAAATATAATTTTAAGCTTTCATACTGATGCAAATTTTCTCATTTATTGCAGGCACTTGATATAGCAACTTAATTCAAATTTAAGTCATGTATAAAAAACTAAACTCTAAAGGATAGCATGGGCCATGCATGGGGTATTGTTTTAAAGATGTCTTTCTTCTCCAAACCATCATCCCTCTTATATTGTAAGAAGATTATGAGGATATCATTCAAATATGCACTTATAATGTCTTTATAATGGGTTTACTAATGCAGAATACTTTTTAAAAGGTTCATATAAGAAAGGTTTGGGCAAGAAGCATCAGCAAAAGCAAATGATGCTTTTCTACATAGGGTTGAGATATAGCATGAAAAATGAAATCACTTGTTTTGGCATAAACAATGTGTTTGGTATTATCTACTTTTTATTTCCGTACACTATAAATGAAGCATAAATGTACAGCTTTTCATTCATCTTCACAAGTAGTAAGTATTTTAATGAAAATTATTGTATCACAAATATTAGACTCATTTAGTTGTCATTTTGCATGAAATCTTTAACTTGTCAGGAAAAATCACATCTTTTTTTTGGTGTGTTTGGTATCTGTTTGGCATCATAATAAAATCTTTTCTCTTTGCAGGCTTGAAGACTATCGTGGGAGCCCTAATTCAGTCTGTGAAGAAGCTCTCAGATGTAATGATCCTGACTGTGTTTTGTCTGAGTGTATTTGCACTAATAGGGCTGCAGCTGTTCATGGGCAACTTGAGGAATAAATGCCTGCAGTGGCCTCCAGACAATTCCACTTTTGAAACAACTGTTATTTCCTACTTTAATAGCTCTGTAGGTGAAAATGGTACATTTATTAATACAACAATGACAACATTTAACTGGGATGAGTACATCGAAGACAGAAGTAAGAGTTAATTGTATCATTTACTGCATTGATTTTATGGAATTTTTTTAAACAGATACAAAAACATCAGTATCTTTCCATTGCAATTAAAATGGTGTAATCCAGCCAAAGGACATAAAAGCACTCATTTTGTGTAGTAAATAAAAGAACAGTCACAATGTAGTTTAAAATACTCATAATATTGTACTTGCTACCAAAATATTTTTTTACCTTTTACTGAATATGACTTTTAGAGTAAATGCATGTTGTAGCACAAAGCAGAAATTTCCGTGCTAGCTTCCAGCCTCCTTGAAATAGTGTGACAGTCCTAATATGAGATTGGAAATTGTATAGCCACATTAGTGCAAGGTACTGCCCAATATCATAAATCCACATTTGACTGTCAGTTAGCTCATGAATCCTGCCATAGCATGCAAATGCAGCTGCATTGTTTCTTCTGGAACTTGGTGACTGTCCCCGCACCACACTCCTTTGCATAGCACAGACATGCTCAAATTTAGTTTACTATATTTAGAGTTTTAACTTAGTAATTAGGCATACCCTTAGTTTTTTTTATAAAGTCCGTATAAATGTAACTGATGCCTGTATGACTGAAAGTTAGGAAACCTCAGTTTAACAGCTAAATGCTTTTGAATCCAAGTCTCATTGACTTATAATCTTTTAATATACATATCGTCTTAGCGTGTTTGTAGTAACATAGAAATGTAATCTTGGAGAAGATTTTGGATGATAACCTGTTCTTTCTTGGAGAAGATTTTGGATGATAACCTAATCTTAAAAACAGATTCCATTTCATTCTATTTCCCTTTAGACGCTGCTGGTACTACATCACACAAATAGAAAGTTTTTTCTAAATATCTGACCTAAATTTTCCTAATTTCAGACTGAATATATTGCTGCTTCTCCTGCAGACTTAGAAATAAAACAATCATAGACTACGTTGTATTAGTCTTTATGAGATTTTAAAATCGTTACCATCTTTATTTCTGGTATTTTCTAAACCAAGCAAGCTTATTTCCTCTTTTGCATTTTCGACATCTTTTAACTTTTTTTGCCTTTTTTTGGACTTTTTTCCAATTAGTCTGGGATTTTGGTTTTTCTCTTTTCTTTGGTTTTTTTTTGTTGTTGTTGTTTGTTTTTTAAATGAGATGCTCAAATCTGGTACTTAGTCCTATAATAGAGGTCCAAATTTGAAGTAATTACCTCATGTGCCACATATGGAACATTCCTCTAACACATCTCAAAATGGCATCATTTTTACATCAGCACCATATTGTTTATTCACAGTCAACTTGCAGTTCTTGACAGTCACCTCATCTTTTTGTACAGCAGTGCCTATGGCGAGATCCTGACTATTTTGCATTTACGTGTTTGATTTTGCTTTGTGAACTGTAGCATTTTCCACTTCTCTCTGTTGAAATAAATCCAATTGCTTTTGGACCAGCTTGTCAATTTGTAAAGGTCATTCTAGATTTCAGTCATCTCTCCTGACTTGATGTCTTCAGGATACTTGATGCGTTTTTCTATTATTTCCTGTCTTGAGTTCGTAATGAAACTTGTTATGAAAACCGTATATAGCACAGATCTCTGGAGGATCTTCAGAAAGATGCTTTTATGAAGTGACATTGGGCCACAGAAAACTGCTGTCTGAGAATCTTTTTTCAAGTATTTTGTGATCATTCCAGCCAGAACATATCTTCCTTATTTGCTTATGAAAGTGTCACGTAGGACTTGTACCCATGACTGTTGCCCTGGCAGGAGACAGGAATAGTTTTATATATGGCATATTGTTTATAAACTCATATTGACTAGTTTTATTACTTTATCATTATCATCTTTGTATTGAAAAATTTATTGTTTAAGTGTTTTCCATAATAATGGTCTGAGAGTTGAGCTGACTGGATAGTTTAACTGGATCCTCTGCTTACCAGACTCCGGAGGACCTGTGCCACATATGAATGTGAATTAGGCCCACAGACAATTCTGAAAATCCATCTTGGTACCTGTCTGCATCTTTAAACTTTTAAAGCTTTTTAAGTAGGGGTTGGATCTCTCATGGGCGTGACTATGTGAGCACTGGAATGTCTGAAAATCCAGTGTTTTCTTAAGTTTTTTTTATCTGATAACTGAGAATAGATTGCAGGTGCATAAATTATGCACAAATCTCTCTCTCTAAAATAAGCAGATTTTATGCTGTCTCTATCATATACTGGTGCTGACAGAGTAGAAGCAGTCAATAGGAACTGGTTGCAGTTCCCTGCTTGTCTCTTTAGCATTAGCCCTCAGTTAGTTTGTGCCAGCTAAGCTAGTCCATGCCAGCTGGCAGTGAATTTCAAGGAACCATCTGCTTCCTGGGAACAGCCAGAACATACTTAATTTTGGCAACTTTAGCTTAATATGCCATCTGACCCAAAAATCTCCACTAGAGATTCCTGTTTTACCATAAGAACCCCAAACTAGGAATTGATGGCAATTGGTTTTCCCCTTCTGCCTCAAAGCAGAACAAGGAAAAGAAATTAATGTGCCAGGGGCTTTTAAGACATCCATCACTTTAAATTATCTTTTACTTCATTGTAATAGTTAGCCTATTAACCAAATACATATAGATACTTCAAGTATATTTCTCTGCTATTGAATTTGGTGTAGTAAATTTTTGTAACACACAATAAAAGCTTGGTTTCTCCCTCAGCTGCTCAAGTCAACATCCAGTTAGCAATTTCTTGTGTACGTTTTGGTGTGTTTTCACACTGCAAAAATGTCAGTACTTTTTCATGTAACATTTGGATAAAATAGTATATAATGAATAATAAATTAATAACACTAAATGGTATATATCAAAATGCATGAACAAAGGCAGGGAACTGCCCTCATCCTTTGTCTTGTTTTCCTGATATTTGTTCACTTATTTGCTGACATACACAGTTTCGTAATCCACCTACTGTATCTTATTCATTTGGTTAGGTTACTGAGAATTAGCTGTACAACTACCTTTCTATTTTCTAAAGAAAGACCAACTTCACGACTCTAGAGAAAATAATTTTCCTGTCAAAACAGTATTTTCCATCCTTTTTTCCTTTCTAATCATTAGATATTGCAGTTAAACTGTTTGTTAGCTCTGCTTATTTCTTTAAAGTGTAAGTCTGTCATTGCTCAATTTCCAGTAGTTATATAAGATGTCATTCTCATAACTTTTTCATTTATTTTTTTAAAAAATAGATCACTTTTACTTCTTGGAAGGACAAAATGATGCTCTGCTATGTGGAAATAGCTCAGATGCAGGGTAAGAAAATGGTAATCATTTTTCATTATGCACCAAGAAAAAATAGTTAACTACTTAGAATAGCTCAGGTGGTCAACTTTATCAACTGTACTGTAGAGATGTAAATTACTGATGTTTTGCAATTGAAGCTACACCTAAATATAACCATCTATGTGATCTCAATCTCAGGTTACACAGCCACTTTCTTCAGCATATTAAGCTAATTTTGTAAAGGTAACCACGTGAATGTTATGTGCGTAAGTGTTGCTGCCAGCTTGCTGATAACTGTTTATCATCAGGCATGCTAGTTGACATTCTTCTCTTGTCCTATGGAGGTGTCTTGATATGACAAATTCTGGAGAAGGGTGGATTACTATTAATTATATTATTAAAGCATTGAAATATCATTAGGAAATTGAATTAAAAGTTGAAAAACAGTAAGATGTATATTTTTATCTTAGGCATGTAGAATAAAATTTCACTTGTTCATAATTTCATTAGCAACTGGTACTCCTGAACAATTTTGTGATTTACTATAGCATATCGTAATCTAGAGTAGTTGTTAAAAACAGAATTTCCTCTTCTTTTGTAGTCAATGTCCAGAAGGATATATATGTGTGAAAGCTGGTAGAAACCCCAACTATGGCTACACAAGTTTTGATACATTCAGTTGGGCATTCTTGTCACTGTTTCGATTGATGACTCAGGACTTTTGGGAGAATCTTTACCAGCTGGTGAGGACTTATTAAAATAAACAGCACCATCACCAATACCATTACTACATAGTACTTGCATAGTTACTTTCATTTGCATGTCCCTAAGGCCTTTGGGACAGAAATCACCTTTTATTTCATATATGTAAGTTGTCTAAAACAACAGAGGCCTTGTTCATGATTTAGGTTCCCACGTGCTACTCAAATAGATAAGAAATAGCTGCTATTTTATGGAAGTGGTTAAGCATTATTGTTTCTTTTCACAAATGATTAAATGAACTTAAGTTGTTAAAGCTTCTTACCCAAACATGCTGTAAATAGATGCTAGCTAATTTGATTTGCAGTCTGTTATAAATATGTTGTCTTTGAAAAGGTTACATCTTGTCCCTGAACTACACATACCCTTAACCTGAGGGACAGTGATGTTGTACAGCATGACATTTTATATACTGCACTGTCCTGTAGCATTGTAGTTTGAGATTGATGAGACAAGAAGGTAAGATGCTGGTTTAGTGGCCCCACAACTGTTAGATTTAAAGGCTGTAATATAGATGTATAGTGGGGGCAGCAACTGCTACTACAGATTCTCATTGGTCGAAGTTTGAAGTATTCAAGCTACAGAATCTTACTTATCTTGACCAAGGTAGACACAAAACTTGGATTTTTGCACATGTAGTCAAATAATACTATTTGTATATGGAAAAAGTAACTAAATAATCTTGTGCTAACACAAAGAAATCTTACAATGAATTTCCAGATTATAACACAGAATCTACCATATTATGCAACAGTATTTAAAAGTCTGCTAAAAATGTGTGTTATCTCTTTTTCCCCAGACACTGCGTGCTGCTGGGAAAACATACATGATATTTTTTGTTTTGGTAATTTTCCTGGGTTCTTTCTACCTAATTAACTTGATCCTGGCTGTGGTTGCCATGGCCTATGAAGAACAGAATCAAGCAACAATGGAAGAAGCAGAACAGAAAGAAGCAGAATTTCAACAAATGCTGGAACAACTGAAAAAGCAACAGGAAGAAGCTCAGGTACCCCTGTAAAGTAAAATTCCTTCTTCCATTCATGGTTGTGATTGGATGCATTATGTCCACATATGAGAGTACTTTTACTCCCCTACTCCTATGTTACTATGACTGTAACTATATGTTACCTTCAAGTCTTATAAATTCTTTCATTTTACAAACAATCTTTAATGTTTTCCATTGCACTGCTTCTGCTGGCTTGAGTTAACCTGCTAATTTGTGACAAAAATCATAACCAATAAGCTAAAATACTGTATTTTCAAATTAGAGATGGAAATTGACTTTTTTACTGAGCACTTGAACAAGTTGTCCAGAGTGCATGTGGAATCACCATCCTTGGAGATAATCAAAAGCCATGTGTACGTGGTCCTGGGTGACCTGCTTTAGGTGACCCTGTCTGTGCTGGGGAGTTGGACACGATGACCTCCAGAGGTTCCTTTCCGACCTTAACCATTCTGTGATTCTGTGAGATGGAGATTAAGGTGTGGGGGGTGGAAAAAACACCAGGAATTCTGCCTATTTAAGTAACAGAAGCAAAACTAGTTTAGGTGCTGTGGGAGAAATATTTTGCTTCAGCAACATTTGGTTTTTTTCTACTCATTCCCCAGCTCTCACAGCAGAAAGCCAGAGTGTTCCAGCTTCTGTGTACAGACATCATTATTACATACTGCTGTGAAATTCTTTTTAATTTTTAGAGACTCTGAAATTTTTAATAGGATAATTGATGATGTCTGCTTGGCATGTGGCCACATAGTGCAGAAGTTGAACTATGTCTTCCATGTAAGCACATGGCTAAAGTCTGCAGTAGTTTTTTTGGTTAGTTGGTTAGTTGGTTTGTGGGTTTTTTTTACTTGTAAATAAGTGTTAATCAAATTCTCCACAAATGTTCAAAACTTTAAACAGAAACAGGTCTCTAATAGCCTACAGTTTAACTCAAATCTCCAATTACGATTTGCAAAACTGAGATAAACAAGGTTACACCAGATCTTCAATAGAGAGTATTCAAAATCCAGCAAAGTGGTGTAAGAAAGCGTTGCTTCCTGCTAACAGGGATTTTTTCCTGTTGTTTGAGCCTTGGTTCCTTACTTTTACAAAGTACTTCAGGTGAAAAATTTGTTGCAACATATTGCTCCAGTCTAAAAGAGATGCTTGGTAGCTTGGTTTTCTGACAGCACAGTTCTCCCTTGGGCTGCTCTAACTCCTGGTTTATGGAGCAGTGGCAAACTATGGTTCCTATGGTATTTCACAAATTACACTTCTTACAATATGCTGGGTTCAGTAAAGTGGGATCATTGCTTTTACTTCAAAATCACTTTTTAAGAATGGCAATAAATGTAAAATAGTAAGTGGTGTGTCTTTGTATAAATGTTGTAAATTGCATATGTGCTTGTACATATAGGCAGCAGCAGCAGCTGCAGCAGCTGACTCAAGAGATTATAGTGGAGTAGGTGGAATAGGTGGATTCTCCGAAAGTTCTTCTGAGGCATCAAAACTGAGCTCAAAGAGTGCTAAGGAGAGGAGGAATAGAAGAAAGAAAAAAAAGCAAAAAGAACAATCTGAAGCCGAGGAGAAGGATGGGGAAGAATTTCACAAATCTGAATCAGAGGACAGCATCAAAAGGAAAGGTTTCCGATTTTCCATTGAGGGGAATAGACTGACGTACGAAAAGAGATTCTCTTCCCCACACCAGGTACTATAGTATTGTTACTTCTTAAACCCCTTTGTTGTCTGCTCATCATATAAACAAAACCATGTGAAGTAGCTTGGACAATTCTTGCAAAAGATACCACAGATTCTTTGATATCTTAAATAAAATATAAGCAAGTTAATACTTTCAACCAAAGATGAAACTGTAAGGATTTGAGAAATTTGGTTTTTTCCCTGAATTTTTGTGTGAAATATCAAAATAATGTGTATTAATTAAAAATGAGTTTTATTTCAAGTTTCTTAGTGAAAATGGACCTATCTCCCCATCGAGATGGATATATTCAGCATGATCAGTGGGTTCAAAATTTGGTGGACACATACAAAAGAATTTCATGTTTTAAATTAGAAAAGTACTAAGTTTGGGATGCAAAAAAAAAAAAAAGCAGAAACTGCATAAATCTTTGTGTGAAATTTGACAAATTAATTGATATGAGACCATTAATTGTTTTATCTTAAAGAAGGTGGAAATATCTGTGGCAATGTGTCCTTGCATGTGTTCTCTTACATTGAAACACCAGTGACTCAGAGTGCCATCTGCATCTCCCATCCAGACATTTATTTCATTTGATAGTTTTGTTATGTTATGCCTTCTACAGTTTTCAGAGTTCCTCTTCATCTGCCCACCTCTAACTCTCCCCTCAGCACTTCAAGTCCAGATCTCACATCCATTCTGTCCTTTTTCTGCCCCTTTGTGTGCCTCAATATGCTTCTTCCTTTTATCCCCACCTTCTTGATTCCCCCTGGTCTTTATGACTTGTTTTCTCCCTCTTTTTAGTCACTATTACTAAACTCATTCCTTCCTTTTTAATCCTCTTCCATTACTGTCTCTGGAACACCTGTTTCATCCCTAAATAGATCATAAGCATCCATATTCTCTTCATGTATTACTTCCTCCAGCTTCCATTCTCAAAGAAGCTCAGACCTCTTAATCCAATATTTTCTTATTATGGACTGTGCTCTTTAGACCAGACCATGGTGGGAATATAATGTTTCTAGCTTCCTATTTCTCCAAGTTAACTCCTCCTTCCACCTGCTGATGTACTTCCTTTTTTAATAGTACTGCACCCTTCCCCCTCCCTCCTCCCACCAACCCCCCATCCCAGCCCTTGGTCTGCCACCATTTTATGTTGTTAACTGTCTAACTAGTCTCTGTAAGAGTTCATTGATGAATTTAGTTAGTTCATGATTCATTTTGTTCCTTATACAAATTTTCACACCTATATCCATTGACTTCAACTTCATGTTGAAGACTCATCTGATCCCTTAGGTGCATATTCTTGCTTGTGTCTTCATTCAGACTGCAGCCTTATTCAACTGTAGCTGAATTCATCCATCTTGTAAGAAATGAAGCATTCCTCATACAATTTGCTTCTCTTACCTTTTCATCTCCAAGTTCATTTTCAGCTGTTTACTATGACAGTTTAGCAATCCCCTCCCCTCTGATTTTCCAACCCTACTTCCTTTTCACTCTGGGTTCTAGCCACTAAACAGAAATCCCACTCGCTAGTTTTTAATAACCTTTTCCTGGACAAAACTCAGGTTTATATCTCATCTTTGACATTTTCCTTGACATTTCACTTGCCTTCAATGTAACTGACCATTATGTTTTTCTTGAAAACTTATTCTTCCTAATGTCCATGATTTTGTCTCCTCTCAATTCTCCTGGTTTAGTTGTGCTTTAGAAAATCATTCTACCCCTTTCACAGTTTTATAAGGGATTTCCACAAGGCCTTTGACTAGTTCCCTTCTCTCTCTCTTTTTATTTTTTTTTTAACTCTCCTGTGGACCCACAACTGTGAATCACTTTTAGCTTGGACCTCTTTTGAATGTCCCAGTTACTGCTGTATTAATCAAGAATGTTGTTGCAAAGAGCACTAACCTACCTCATTGCTTTTACCTAATCTGCTAGTAAACATACCTAGCTAAAGATATTTTTTTTTGATACCATAAAACATATGTGCTTAAAGTTCTTCCCAACCCACCTTGTCTACTTACAGTAAACAAGTCAAGTCCTGGCTTTGACTGACCCATGCCAGCATCCATAACCTCCTGTTAAATTTTCAAACTAGTTTCTTTGACCTCTTTCTGGTATGCTGCCCCTCATGCTTGGAAGAAGCTCCCATGAGTTTCCACAGAACACTTCATTGCTTTCCTCAAATCCCTCTTTAAAACTCTCTTTTACCATGCTGCCTACAGAAAGCTTGGCAGGGAAGTGACTTCAGGTGAGCTAAGACCACTGTTTATCATACCCATAAATTTTGCCTCTTTGTATTCCCTCTCTTTTTGTATCCATCTGTGTGTTACACTTAGATGATAAGTTCTTCACAGAGTGCCTTTTTGTTCTGCATTTTGCAGTACCTAGAACAATGGGGCTCAGGTCCATAAAGATAAGTTGCAGAAGAGAAACAAAGACACTGCTTTGTTATGTGTCATCTCTGCTTGTCATAGAGGTCTTGGGTGAAATCGGGTGCTAATGCTAATCAATCAAGTCAAGAGAATCACTGGTGTGAATTAAACTTGCAAGATCAGAGCATTATTTTGACTCTGGTCTTGAAAAGGTCCTCCCATAGCAGAACATTTATTCACATGAGTAAACTGATGAAGATTAGTGAGACTGTTAATACAAAATTACAGACATATCTTTGCATATTTGGGATATAATAGGACTTTAAAAATAAATAAAAACCTTATAGTGGCCTATTTGACTAGTATCTGTAAACATACTTATGCTTTTTAAACTAGGCAGTATTTGGGAGCTACCTCTGTGTGCAGACTGAGTCACAGGAAATTTGCCCAAAATTTTATTTACTCAGCCTGTCAGACTAATGCCAACCTTGGGTAAATGGTGTCTAGATGTGCTTACTCAGTTTATGAACAGTTGGTAATAAAACAGGCAGAATGGCAGAGGAAACAATTATGTCAAGCAGTTTCTTTTACTCTAATTAAACCAATCGATTTCATATATTCAAAGTAGTAAAATAACTAGTCTTTGTCTGTCACTTATGTGCTTTTTGTTTACTATCCAAAAGGGAGTGTATCTGGCGGGGGCTGGGAGGGCTGTACCAGTTAATTTCTTTGTAGATGACCTTACCCTTTAAAACATATTAATACTGTGGTTTTTTCCCCTGTATGGAGACATTATATATAAAAGGATTTTCATCTGATAATCATTGTTTTTATTTGCCTGCAGTCTTTGCTGAGCATTCGCGGCTCCCTGTTTTCCCCAAGGCGCAACAGCAGAACAAGTCTTTTCAGCTTCAGAGGTCGAGCAAAGGATGTAGGATCAGAAAATGACTTTGCTGACGATGAGCACAGCACTTTTGAAGACAATGAGAGCAGAAGAGATTCTCTCTTTGTTCCTCATAGACACGGTGAACGGCGCAACAGCAACATTAGTCAGGCCAGTAGGTCCTCCAGGACAATACCTCCGCTTCCAGCAAATGGGAAGATGCACAGCACTGTGGATTGCAATGGAGTCGTTTCTTTAGTCGGTGGGCCACCAGCTCTGACGTCACCTGCTGGACAGCTTCTGCCAGAGGTGATGATTGATAAAGCAGCCACTGCTAGCAATGTAAGAAAGTCTGCAATAGCTCAGGCATGATGTCTTCTCCCTGTATGATCAGCTGCTATTTCTACAAAATGTAGTCACTTCAGAATGATTCCCTTTCTGGCCAAGTTGTGAATGCTCCTTTCATATATTCCAGTTAAAAGCTAAAGCAAAACCTGAAAAGATATACTGATTTACTGGGAATTAACAGAATAGCATAGTAAACCATTGAAAAAATGTAGTCTGTGTAGTTTTATAGCCATTGATTCATTGTGCTAAATGAAGACTTAACTGGAAGTTTTTGTATTCGTATATAAGACAGGATATCAAAATGGAAAAAAAATATATTTACTTAATGGGATATATTAAATGAGTATTTAACTTCCCGCTGACCGTATATAAAACTTTTGATATAACACTGGTAGTACAACTTATATGGTTTGTGATAGTGTTCCTGTAACATAGTTAATTATTCTAGGGTTTGGGTTTTTATTTTTTGGACATGTCAACATTATTAAATATTTTTTCTTTTATTTTGTTTGAAAGTGTGTTCTCAGAAATTGATAATTTATGCTAAATTAAGAGTTATCTTAAGAAAATACACCAACTCTTGGTGCTTTCACTGCTAGCTGTGTGGGCTGTGCATTTTCATGTTTAGAAAAAGACTTCACTGCCTAACTAGAAAGAGAGAACAGCAGAGCTCATTGACAAGAATTGTGGAACTTTTTATAGTCTAAAACCTGTTTATAGTCTAAAATCTGTTTTAGTGTTTCAGCCTTGTTCCAGCAATGTTCTTTAAGTACAAGAGCAGCCCTACTGATCGATTTGACTGTTTGCTGTATACAAGGTTGGGTATACATTAGTCTATTGCATAGCCACAACATAAATGGAGCATGATGCAGGACAGAAGAGTGTTTTAAACCATTACACTTTTACAATAATTTACGATGTTATTAAATGAACAATCAATAGGCTATTTTATCAGTGTTTTATTTTCAGGGCACTACTACAGAAACTGACTTAAGAAAGAGACGGTCTAGTTCTTATCATGTTCCTATGGACTACCTAACAGATCCTAGTGCAAGGCAGAGAGCAATGAGTATAGCCAGCATGCTTACAAACACAATGGAAGGTACGTAACACAGAATTTTTGTATGACAATGCTGTAAAGTGCTATTAAATGTACGCTACGTAGTAGTGCTGTTTTAGGGCAGCTATTTCAGCCTAAAGGGCAGAGGCAAGATGAGATCTGTATACGGAGGTAGTATTTTTTTTATTAAAGATGGACTGATATATTTGGAAAAGCAGTCAAGCTTTCAATATACTAATAGGTTTCAGGTGGAAGTAGCAAACTTCCAAGTGCAAGCAGAAAGCAATTGATCAATGCAGTGTTTCTCTAGAGAAGTTATCTTTTTAGATTAATGAAACAGCTATGCTTCTTGCAGTAGAACAGTCCCTTTCTGCTGATTCACCAGACATGCTGTTTCACAAAGGATCACATTGTTCTTCCTGTAAGGCTAAATAGAATGAATCCGAATCACAGAATTAAGCAACTAATTGTAAGAAAGGACAAGACATTACTTTGAGGCTTGAATGACTATGCCCAAAATAGCAAATGGGAAAGAAATAATGAGGAGGTTTGCACATGTGGACCATAATACTGTCTAAATAGTTGTCTGACTTGAGGTTAGTTCTAAATTTTTATCTTTCATGAGGAAAATCGTAAATATTTTATTCATTCTATGTATAGAATCATAGAATGGTTTGGGTTGGAAGTGACCTTAAAGATTATTGAGTTCCACCTCCCCTGCCATGGGCAGGGACACCTTCCACTAGACCAGGTTGCTCAAAGCCTCATCCAGCCTGGCCTTGAACACCTCCAGGGATGGGGCATCCACAGCTTCCCTGGGCAATCTGTTCCAGTGTCTCACCACCCTCACAGGAAAAAATTTCTTCCTAACATCTAATCTAAATCTACCCTCTTTCAGCTTATACCCGTTACCCCTTGCCTGCTAACTACACTCCGTGATGCAGAGTGCCTCCCCATCTCTCCTGTAGTCCCCTTTAAGTACTGGAAGGCTGCTCTATGGTCTGCCCAGAGCGTTCTCTTCTCCAGGCTAAAACAACCCCAACTCTCTCAGCCTGTCATTGTACGGGAGGTCCTCCAGCCCCCTGACTATCTTCGTGGCCCCTCTCTGAACGTGCTCCAACAGGTCCATGTCCTTCCTGGGCTGAGGACTCCAGAGCTGGATGCAGTACGCCAGGTGGGGTCTCATAAGAGCAGAGTAGAGGAGCAGAATCACCTCCGTCGACCTCTGGTCATACTTCTTTTGATGCAGCCCAGGATCCAGTTGGCTTTCTGGGCTGTGAGTGCACATTGCTGGCTCATATTCAGTTTTTCATTCCCCCAAGTCTTTTTCTGCAGGCTGCTTTCAATCCACTCATCGTCCAGACTGTATGCCAGATTTCTAAGACAAATTTCTATTTTGCATCCTATATAGCATTTGCTTGTGAATGGTTATTTTATCAATTGAGTATTTAGTATTCTTTTTACATAAAATTTAAACCATAGTGGGACAGATTGTTTTTAATTGTAATTTCTTTTTACTGACAGTAGCCTTTGTTTCAAAAGGTCTACAATATTAACACATTTTATCAACAGTACCTTAGAAAACAGCATTTAGACATCAAGGAAATATTCAGGTGATACTGCAATAGAGTAACATATTTAAAATGTTATTTTCATTTTTCTCTCCAGAACTGGAAGAATCCAGACAGAAATGCCCACCATGCTGGTATAAATTTGCTAACACTTGCTTGATTTGGGACTGCTGTACTCCCTGGCTGAAAGTCAAACATATTGTAAATTTGATTGTGATGGACCCATTTGTTGATCTGGCCATTACTATCTGCATTGTCCTAAACACCCTGTTCATGGCCATGGAGCACTATCCAATGACAGTACAGTTTAGTGGTGTGCTTTCAGTAGGAAACCTTGTAAGTCTTTCACAATGTACCATATGTGTCAAATGCATTTTTCTGAAATAATTCTTCTGTGACCTGTGTACGTGTGTTTAAAAGAAAATATTGACTAGATAGTTATAGGTTTGGGATGGTTGAATTTAAATTTAAGCTGTCTTGAATCCTTCTTTGTTGACATTTATGGATTTCAGCACACTTGCTGTATGGAGCACAAGATAGTAAGATCTGTTGAGTCGATATGCATTGTGATTTTTAAAACCTTCAGCTTCTGTCATTGAAGCTGGTGATGGTATTTATGTAATGTTTTTTCTTGGATGGATACTTGTAAATCATAAAAACTTTCAGTTCCATTCCTGCACCTGTCCCACTCCTCACTAGCACCTCCTGAGGTCCTGTGTGTTCAGGGTATTGTAGAGGGGAAAGACTCAGTAAGCGTGGCAGATACACTGAAACTCTGCAGGAAATGGTGAAATGGCATGACAGTGCCTTCTGCAGGTCATCCTGAAGAATAGTTCTGCTCACATTTCAATATATTTTTTTTTCTTAATAGAGTAATTGTCCCTGTCATAAATGTATCTTTGTCTCTAGAAGCAAAAAGATGTCCCAAGGGCAAAGATGAGATCTAAGGAGGAAAAACTGAGCACTAAAATCAGAGGAGATTCTGTGTACTGGTACTTATACATGCATATTAGTAGGCTAGATTTACGTCTTTTACCCATTTACCTCTTTTTCTTTGGAAACCAAACATTGTGATGCGTATGTAAGCTTCAAATCTGAATTTAATTCCTAACTACAATGTACGGCAATATAGAGAAGCTCGTCAGATTTATCATGGATTGCTTGCTGAGGATATAACTTACAAAAAGTTGATACCATTAGTTTTATTTTTTAAAATATTTTCTCATTAAACTGAAGTAAAAAACTGTGTTTGCCTTGCAGGTATTTACTGGAATTTTCACTGCAGAAATGTTTCTCAAGATAATTGCCATGGATCCTTATTATTATTTCCAAGAGGGCTGGAATATTTTTGATGGTTTTATTGTGAGTCTTAGTTTAATGGAGCTTGGCCTTGCAAATGTTGAAGGATTATCTGTACTTCGATCATTCCGATTGGTAAATATACTAAACAAAATATGTTTCTATGTTACATTTTTGCATTTGTGCATGTATGTTGTGCATTTTTTTTGTTTGTACATTATATTTTTTGGCTAAGACAGAAGATCTTTTCGTAAGGGCTTAGAAAATACTAAATTGCATACCCACTAGATGGCATGTATCTCTTATGTCAGGTTTGTTTTACATATTATCTCAGAAACGTCTATTTTTTCTTCAAGACGTTGTCAACATCAATTCTGTTCTTGCAGTGAGCGTGCTTTAAATATTAACTTTTTTTAGTAGTACTGTCTCTCAGAATCTTTTTCTCCCTAGATGAGGGAATGAAAATGCAAGAGCCATACACCCTCAGTACCTTCAGTGACTGAAGATTAGTAAATCGCTTCGTAAATAACGGATTGGTTAACAAAAGTTTATTAACAGTTTTAGCTGATAGACTTCCATTACCAGTTTGCTTACATGGTTAGTTTTAGAAGAGAGTAATGTAAAGATTTTTCTTTCGATAGGGATTTTTCATCACTACCAGCCTTCTCCTTAGGATCCTCTGCAAGGGCCTATCCACTGTCTAATAACTTTTCTGTTGAGAAGTCACTATAGTATCTCTGTGTCTTGTTAGATATCTCTATCATGAACAGGAACTTGAAAAACCTTCGTCGTGCTGAAGACTAGGCTAGTATGCAAGTTATGTTTAAATCCTCTTCTGAAAAGACCTACACAGTAAGAGATATGAACCTAGACTTCCTAATCATCAAGCTCAACTTTTGCCATAAAGCAAAAAATATTTAACTTTAAATAAAAGTTAAATAAACCTCCTTTAAAAAAAGAGGGGGTTTAAATTTGTCCATATGCTGGTTCTCTGCATTATATTGCATTCTGCCTGAAGTCTAATGTCTGGATTGACTTCTACCTCAGTAATAGAATTCCGTTTTTAACTTCACATCTATATATTTTATGTCTCATCTCATGAAATAATACTTAGATTTAGCTTCCTTTTAGTATTGTCCTCTCAGTTGTCTAAACACTTGCTGTATCTTTCCAAATAATTTCATTTTTGTCTGTTTCAAGTTGTACTTTAATACACCACTTTCCTTTGTCTGTTTTTCACAATGTTGTATGACAAACTTTGTAAGACACATTATGCTAATTTTAAATGACAGAAGAGATATTGTTGATGATACTTGCGAGTGACTTGTGTGCCTGTCATTGACAACTCTAGTTTGTTTCTCTTTCTAGGAAAACCATTTCTTCCATCTCTCTGCCAGTTAAGATGAAAGAGGTCTGGAAGTGTCTATACACTTACAATCCTGTTAAACTGATCACATTTCATATGTGCTCATTTATTTTTAGCAATATTCTCTTATGGTTTAGCAATATTCTCTTACGGTTAACTAAAGGAGAAAGAAAGTTTTGTCCAACAAGTGTAACTTTTTTTGTAGATATCTAAAGTCACCAAAAGAAGCAAACTCTGAATTGGAGACTGTGATAATTGCAATGTAGTTGAAATGAGCATAGAGACAGTATTTTTGACTTCTTGTGACTTGAATCACGACTTAAGACTGCTGGGGCCTAGCATTGTACAAAGAACTGGAAACATAAATTTTGTAACTAAAGTTTCTAAAGGTTACATGAGACATGATTTAGACACAGGGTAACTGAATTATGAAATGTATAGCATAATTTCATTACAATTAGTAACATGAATAACTGTATATTATTTTTCTGTTTTGCAGCTTCGAGTTTTCAAATTGGCAAAATCTTGGCCAACTCTAAATATGCTGATTAAAATTATTGGCAACTCAGTGGGGGCTCTGGGAAATCTGACCCTGGTGCTGGCCATCATTGTGTTCATTTTCGCTGTGGTTGGGATGCAGCTGTTTGGGAAAAGCTACAAGGAATGTGTCTGCAAGATCTCTAGTGACTGTGAGCTTCCACGCTGGCACATGCATGACTTTTTCCACTCTTTCTTGATTGTATTCCGAGTGCTCTCTTTCCTGATTGTATTTCGAGTGCTGTGTGGAGAATGGATAGAAACGATGTGGGACTGCATGGAGGTTGCAGGCCAAACCATGTGCCTTACGGTCTTCATGATGGTCATGGTGATTGGAAACCTAGTGGTGCGTAATCAGTGGTGACTTTATAAAGCTATTAGAACATATTTCCTATTTTTTGTGATTTAGAAATCAGAGGTAAAGACTGGGGAAGGACTTTAGGAGATCATGTAATTCCTTTGCAAATATACCTTGATCATTATGAAAATGTTTGTCTACTTTTTCTTGTAAATCTTCAGTAAGTTTATAATCTCCTTAGTAAGATCAGTGCTGAATTATGCTTATAGTTAAAAATGTGTTTCAAAAAAAATCTAACTTAAATCACCTTTTACAGCCAATTAAACTGACTGGTCTCAATAGGGATGGAAAACAGTTGGTTGTCATGACAGCATTTATATTACTTAAAGGTTTACTCTCTCCACTTTCAGTCTTTTCCTTCTGAAACAAAATGAGCCCAGCTGCTCAATTTTTTCTCATAGATGGTGATTTCTAAACGACTTATCCCTTTTGCTACTGGTGTCTGAATTCCTCCCAAGCAGCATTTTGGATAGAGAGACAAGTACAGAATAATGTAGAATAATTATACTTCCATGTCTTACACCCAACATTCCTTGTGATACATCCCCAAATAACACATGAAATTTCTGTACCAGCATTGCTTTCCTGATGCAGTCTATATGCCCTTTTCTGCAGTGCTTCCACCTTGCCAGTCTTCACACCTTCTGTATATGTGCTTTTCATTTTTCATAACCAATGTTTCTACACTAGTACTTCAGAATTAAATGCCATATTAATTTTGAATCATTTCACCAATTTACCATGGTTTTGTCTAATTGTAGTTCTTTCTTGCTGAGTGAGAGCATCCCTTCTCTTTTTGGTATCATGCACAAATTTTATAAATGTGCTTATCCACAGGCATAAATGCCAAATTTAACGGGACTAATGTGAGACTCCTGTGTTATACCTTCTAAAATATTCTGCAAGGTTGAACAGGAAGAATTGACAAATATAATTTGTATATTATTTTTAATCAGTTTTGCACATAGTCTCTCATAATTACATGTAGTCCAAGTTTCTCTTGTATGTTTGTAAAATGTCATGCAAGAAAGTCTGAAGTAGTTCCCTAAAATTGAGGTGTATCACATCTGTGGACTCTTTCTTTCGTAGTTTGCCTGCCCAAAACAAAAATAGACTGACATATTCTTGGCAAATATAAAAGTTTATTATATTCTGAATTAGAGACACTGAAACAGTCTGTTGAACTGCAGAAGACTGTAGTCTGAATGTGTTCCTCTCGCCTATGAACACTACAGCAAATGGAGCTTGTTGTATCCTGCCTCCTTATGTCATTCCGCATTTTGAGAAGCAGACCTGCACTGCTTCCAGTGGGGAGGAGAAAGTCAAAGAACAGCTCAGATTTTCACCCTTATTAGTCAAGTTAAACAAGCTAAAAACGTTTTTGGCAAATTATAGTAAAACATGGGGGACAGGGATTATGGACTGGAAATAATAACAGGAAGGCTGAAATAAAGTGCTAGCTGTGAAATAAAAATTATGTCATATTGAATGACCCATAATGTTATTGCTTTTATGACTTAAAAATAAGAGATCCACTATATTTTCTCCTTACTGTCTTTTAGGTACTCAACCTCTTTTTGGCCTTGCTGCTGAGCTCATTTAGTTCAGACAACCTTGCTGCTACAGACGATGATAATGAAATGAACAATCTACAGATTGCTGTAGCAAGGATTCAAAAAGGCATAGATTATGTGAAGAGAAAAGTACGTGAATTCATCCAAAAAGCCTTTGTTAGAAAGCAGAAAGTTTTAGATGAAATCAAACCTCTTGAAGACCTAAACAACAAAAAAGACAGCTGTATTTCCAACCACACAATAGTAGAAATAGGTAAAAACCTTGCCTATCTTAAAGAAGGGAATGGAACTACCAGTGGCATAGGGAGCAGCGTGGAAAAATATGTTGTTGATGAAAGTGATTACATGTCATTCATAAACAATCCAAGTCTCACTGTGACAGTGCCAATTGCTGTTGGGGAGTCAGATTTTGAAAATTTAAATACAGAGGAGTTCAGCAGCGAGTCAGACCTGGAAGAAAGCAAAGAGGTAAGACTGTTTCTATATTTAAAATACTCTGATGCTTTTCTCTTTTTCCTAAGGTTGTTAGTGTTGAATTCAAATCTCTAATTCCTGTATAATAGCGTATACAAATTTGTAATGGTATTTAAGGTAAATTGATGTAGGGTTGCAGGTTTTGAATGAGATGGTAGTACGGTATTGCATTTACAGTAATAATCAAGATGCATAAGACAGTTTTTTAGAAAATTAATATATTTTTCTTATTTTATTTAGTTAAACTGTTTTAACAAGAAAATGAACCAATTTAATAGACCTGGATACCAAAAGTCTTATAAAATGTGGGGGTGTTGTGCAAGTTTCTCCATGGTTATTTCATCAGTGCAGTTTACTCTTTTGTCAGCTTTCTGGAGAGCCTCCTTTCAAATTAACGGTTCATTGTGATGCTTTTAACCTTTTTGATATAGTCAAAATATGTTCAGATACATCATAAGTATGTTTGAATACTGGACCAGCATCACTAAATGATTTAATATGAATCACTAATAATCCATCTGATAGTAGCAGAACCACTGAAGAAGTGAAGTAATAACCTTATGGTAAAAAAGTTATGAAGCTTTATATCTCAGTAGAAGATCTTTTCATATGGCCACCCGTTGCCATTTTTAAAGCTTTGAAATATTTGAATTTGTTACCTACTGTGATCATAAGAAAATATGCCTCTTTCTGGCACAATGTTGTGCCAAATGGCCAAATCTGAGCTAGCATTTTATGAGTTACAGTGAATGCCAAAGACCTTATTGTTTTAAGCCGGTGCTCTGTCCTCCACAATTGTATATGGTGGAGGAGCACCAGCTCAAGTGGAGTAAGTTGATGCTGTGTTTCGTACTGATGCTACTTCATTCAGAATTAGCACGGGTAGTTTTGAACAGTACTGCATTTTATGTTGTAGGCATAAACTAATGTAAAAGTTTTCATAAGTAATTTCCTTGTGCTTTAATCTGAGAGTATAAATATGGCGAAGATTCTAGTAATTCTCACTCAGAGATCCTTTATTGTACAGATGTCATATATTTAGTAGTATTTACTTGTTTTTGTCGTTGTTCTTTTAAAAATATTTATTTTTTGCAGATTGATTGTATTAGTATTTATCCTACTCTTCAAACCATTACTTGGGTGTAGAACAAAGCAGAAGTTGTTGTAATTTAACCTTTAATTGTTCTATGTGATGAAGAGGGATTACATGAAGGTTTCTTGGTCTGAGTGTAGGATTTTGGTTGATTTTATTCTAAATTTGTACATCGGATACTAAAAGGAATCTTCTTCAGGCACCTTTCCACCACACAGGGCTAGTACATTGTTCTGTCCTTCCATTCTTCTTCTGTTCCATTGTTCTGTCATCCCATTATTAACTGTTTCAAAACTTACTGTTGCCAGAGGAGCAGGAAATTCTACTGCTAATCTGGTCAAATTCCACCTGTCGGTGAGATAATCCATAATGATTGCATATGACAGTAATGGCTATTTTTCTGACTTTTTGTAAATCATGTAGTTTTTTGGTGTAGGCCTGGTCCTTCGGGATTTGTTCTTTTCCTGCTAATCATCTTAAAATCCATCTATCAGTTTCAGCCTTTTCCTTGCTTAGGAACTACTGATAGCCAGAGGATATACTGAAAGTTTGGGGATAAAGTGTCTTAAGTTAAAGTTCAGTACTAGGAAACAGAATACTTTGTATTTCTTCAGCACAAAATATTTATTGCTATCTTGGTGGAGTAACAAATACCTATCTGTCAGTCAGTATTTGTCTGTAAAGTTAGCATAGTATTTATATCAGTTTCAAGGGTGCTGTCAACCTAAACCTATCATTTTTCATAAAATATTCTAAATGTCTCAATTGGAAAGTGTGAAAGAGATACTGTTAGTTCACTCTGCAGATATATTGTAACTGGCAATGATGCTTCAGATGATATTACTGTATGAATGACACTACAAGAAAATCTTCTCACACAGATGGAGTCTGAGATGTTGGCTGTGAAGTCCCAGTACAATCATAAGTATGGACTCAGAAAAGCTCTCCTCTCTTTGCTTCTTATTTTGAGCTCCCACCCATATCAGATTCTGATGATGTTACTCATGCCAATACTAGCACTGGTCATGGTAGTAGTATATCTTGTTTTAAATTGCCCTATATACTTTTTCTGGGGTTGTTCTTTTTTAAAAGTTATGAAGTTATGTACATGTTAACTGAAGTTTCATCAAAATAGATTATAGGTCTGATAATTGGCAACTTCTGTGCAACAAGTAATTTGGAAGTGTAATTGGATTCTACTAATTTAAATGCTATATGTCATTAAAATGACCAAGAAAGAAGTAATTTAAATATTTTCCATTAGTGATTATTAATTAGCTGCTGAAGTCTTTTAAAAAACGTAATCACAGGACTGTTCTGTACTAGTGGAGTATTCTCCATTTCTTATGCAGAAGCTCCAATTGCTGTGCAGAAAATAATTTGTGATTCACTGAACAGTGGTAGTAAGAAGGAACGTGATTTTGGTGGTGCCTAATGATTAAGGCAGGTGTTTTGAGAAAGAAATCTTTCCCTGCTACAAAATCTGTCTATTTCTTCATTGTGTAACAGGGTTGCTGACTGTTTTCCGTAGACATATTTTTCCTTTTCCCAGGGGAAGCACCTCAATTTGGTTATTCTACAAGGTGACAAAAATATTTGTTTAATTCCTATAGGGAAAATTCTAAACCAACACTCTTGCCACGAAAATTACCATAGCAAAAGAAGGCTTTTTTTTTTTAATTAAAAAAAGTGACTAAAAATGGCTATGGCTTTTTGTTCAAGGCTTCCTCTTTTTGCCATGCTATAATGTGCCTCACATTTCTGCCCTCTCATGTTTTCCCATTTATATGATTCTGCTGTTGCCGAGTGTTGATCTGCCAGTCACTTCATTGTTTATACCACAAATTAAAAGAGCTTAAGTCAGAAACTGCCACCAGACCACGTTCAATTAGCAGTATCCCAGATGAAAGGCAGCTTAGGCATCCATGTACTGCAAAAATACCCTGCACAAGATAGCCAGATGCTGAGTGTGTGTCTGTGTGCTTTTGCTTTTCTCTGTGTATACACATGCATACACGTATTCATTGTGGTATAAGGTAATAAGCTGAATTTCTACAAAGTAATTATAATTTATTAGCAAGTCTTAATTAAGTATATTAATGTTTGGTGAATTCTTTATTATCACATATATATTTTCCAGTATTTTGATGGAAATATTAACTAGATGATGCCTTTCTAGAAACAATGCATACAGTATTGTGCGCGCTACTAGGTGTGAATTTACAAGGAATTTTCTAGAAAATTGCGTGAAACCTAACCCAGAATTAGTTACAAGAACATTGTGTCCATAACAATGGTAGTGGGGGAATACAATGTAATAAGAGACCTAAAGAACAAATCCTAAATAAAACTTTACTATGGAAGTAGGGCCATTAACAAATATGGGACCACTGTGCTGAGTCTGTTATCCTACACGTAAAGGTCCGTGGACCTGAGATGCACTAGTGCTATCCTGTGTAGAAGCTATAAAAGTAATTTTTCCTTTTTAGGTCCTTAAATAGTATGGGGATGGTTCATATAGAAAATTTTGTAGTGCATGTGTAGCTGTGTAATAATTAGACTTCTATGCTAAGTGTAACTTTTAGGCTAGTAATTACACCAAGATATTTTTAAATGCCTTAAAAAATATGGGATTTCCTAATGCTGTTGCAGACACCTTAATGATGTATATTTTACTTTAAGCAGTATTCAGCGCAAAAAGGCAGAGGTGCTGTGTCCTGAATTTCATTTCCTAACATTCTTACTTCTCACAGGAGTAGAACCAAGCTGGATCAGTCAAGCGGGCAGCTCTGGTGCCTTTTAGCGAGGCAGAGCATCGTGTCACCAAATTTATACAGGTTACCTAAGCAAGTTATACATCTATATGTATATACTATATAATAACTTTTAAATAGATATTGACTGGCCTGCATGCTCTTCAGCTATGATCCTGTCCCATTCATTGCAATAAAGTACAAACATGCACAGCTGCTCTCTGCTGAGTCACGGGACTCGCATCACAGCATGGTCAGGCAAGATCGGCAGTCCTAATATTTCTGTGGTTCAGATGCTATACTTTCCATGATATTTTATTCGTATTTTGCAGTGCATGCTATGTACCTTTCCCAAACTTGATGGTAAAGTTTTCAGGATTCTATTTCTGAAGGGTTTTCTTTTCTTTTGAAATAAGACAGAATATGTAACATGTAAGCTATGTTTCTCATCAGAAGCTTATGTAAGTCCATCTGTAAATTGTATGGATAATGAAAGGCTGCTAGCTGTTTTGGGAAGCTTTCATACTATTGTATTTTAGCATATAATAGAGGTAGCTTGCAAACTCATGATAGTCACATTTATATTTCACAATTTTTTTCTTTGAAATGTTTTTTTCAGTAGTTGTATAAACAGTTATTTTGGAGATTAATATGCAGTACTTGAAGCAACATTAAGCATGAAATCATTAATTTCCACACTCAAAGCATGTGACCATCATTTGGTTAAAAAAGCTCATACAAAACTGGTATTTGGCTGGTCAAACATTCAAAGATCAGTTCTGCTCTTACTTACACCCACACTTACAAGTGTAGAGGTGCAAAGAGAAAACTGATGGCAAGATCTGGCCCGATTCAGTCTTAGCTTAGCTCTTTAATTTATGCTCACAAATTGACTGCCTTCCCAAACATCTGAAATTGTCTGCCCTGAGAAACTTAAACTTATTGTCATCTTATCAGTAATAAATGAAGTTCAGCAGTCTAGTAAATAAGTTACTGATTTTTGGACCCAAAGGTCCCCAGCTTCAGTATGTTTTACATCTCGCCTGTTAATCACCATAATATTACAACACCATAGTTGTATGATGCTGCTTTCAGTCTGGTAAATCAGTGGAGTTAAAATATACTTACTGCATAGCTTTTTGTCATCTATTTTGTAGGGAATAATTTATCTGGTAAGTCATATTTTAATTTAAAAATATTAATTATTCAAAATCCTTTGATACTCTGAAGAATTTAGGCTTTCAGTTGTGAATGGGTCACATCGTGTTGGCATATTGTGATTCATAGTGGATGATATTAAGTTGTTAATATCAGAGTTAATTAAATTTCATTTAATTAACCATTTCAAACAGCAGTCCCTTGCTCTGTTTCAGAAATATCCTTTCACTATTGCTTGTGTGAATTAAAGAGCCTTTCAAACTAGCTTCCAGTGGGAGTGCTTTTGCAAATATTTCTACTGCTACTTATGGTGCTTTTGCTTTCATCTGACATTCTTGCAAATATTTTCATCCATCAAATGCTCATAAGTAAGTAGATGAAAGGAACTGTGAATAGCAATAAAGTAGAGAGTGGACTATAATTTAGGGATCCTGGTTTTTGTACTATTTGCAAACAATAATCATCACAGAATTGTTTTGCTTTGATTTACAAAGAACTTTTTCTGAACTGGTAGAGTTATTATGCCTGACTGCATAAGCACTCGAAAGAGTGACATCCAGATTCCACTTAATTACACCAGTGGAACTACAGTGATATTTACCACTTGGTCGATTCTATAGGTGATACAGCTGTATTGAAAAAGACTGGCTAAGTTTGAATATAATATTGCCATTTATATAACAAAAAATTTCATTTTCATACTGACAGCCACACAGCACTGAGAAAATAAAAACGATAGAATTTCCATTATTTAACATTTTCACAGGTATTTGGGAGGAAAGGAAATTAAAAGCAAAACCAAAATGGTGGTTTCTCTCGGTGCCATCTTCCTGCTTAAGTCTGTTCTGCTCTTTGCTCCTTCAGTCCCTTAAATTATGATTTCAACAGCTATTAGCGGCATCCTGGCCAATCATGAAATTTCAGGCTTTGTTAAAAATGTTAAACTAAGAGCTGTTCAGCTACTCTCAGATAATCATCTGGGAAACACAGAAAGAAAGAAATGTTAGAAAGTCAAAGTGTCCTGGCTGTAAGTGAAGCAGAATTGTATGAATCTATGAGATGTTGTCGAGGTTCAGAAAGTAATTATGTTAAAAACTTCCTGACCTAATCTTGGCTGCTGCTTTTTGCAATGCTGCTGATAGGAAAGCTGCTTTCCACTTTCAGTTTCTATCTTGAAAGCTAAAATAAACTATCTATCTCATACTGTACTGTATTGCTGACTAAAGCATGACTGGCAATGCTGTTAGTAGATGTGATGTAAAAGATATATAAATCTCTATGATAATTAGTATATTCCTGCTTTAGAACCGTGTAAGTACTTTCATCCCCTTATTGTCTTCTGTGAAAAGGAGATGGAGTATGTACATTCTGATGTTTTGAAAAGTAGATTTCTCTGAGAATAATTTCCTTAGCATACTATTCAGAAAAAATCTAGCATCATAACTCAAAGAGTGTCTAATACTTGACCCTGATAAATCTCTTATAATTTGGGTGACTGAACACTTTTGAAATGTAGATCCGTGAGATGAAAAGGGCTTAAAAAGGACTTACTATTATTTCAAAGATAACGTTTGGGTTTGATGCTTATCTTGTTTCTACAGGTTCATTTTTTTTTTTTTTAAAGCTGTATACATGTGAAGTATATAGCATTGCCTAAATCCAGTTGTTGTAATGCTGGTGAGCAGAGAATAATTTATCAGGTACAAAGGTAACTTTGCAATAAATTAAGGTAAAGAACTGGGACATACGCTACATACCTACAATATCAGGGTCTGCAATTAGAGGTAGTCTAGCTATCCAGGTGGATTCCATACGTGCAAACACTGGTAAGTCACACTAAGTGGTAGAAAAATTCTTCCTATGTATTAAAGCATATGGACAAAACATAATCCGCAATAACATGGTCTGTTCCCAAGTGATTTTATATTGAATGCATAAAAATCAGTACAACATCCCTAGGTCACTTGCTTTATACCAGAACAGAAGTTTGCTGTGCAAATATGTGATTGCTACTGAAAAGTTTTCCTAGCATACTGAACTGAATTGTTTGGTAAAATCTGAAGATGTTGCATCATAAAACCTTCCTAGCTCTTTGTCATGACTACTAAATTTTATAAATATTATATAGAATGCCATTCAATAAACTCAATGTTACAAATAACAAAGAAACAAATGAGAAAGAAGTAATTATTTCTGTTTAAATTTTAATTTTTTTTCTTCCCCAAATTATATTGAATTATTTATTGAATAATTTTTATTATATACTTCCTCATGTATTGATCAGGTTGGAGCTGAATTCAGGTATAAAAGAACAGCATGCTAAGGAAATACTCTCTTACATCAACAACAGAAGAGTAACTGAATTCTCAGTGGGATTAAGGCATTTAGCTGTTGTGTTTCAAGTATCAGCTTCTGTTTATTCAATTTAGCATTTTTCTGTTTAGCTTAACTCCTGTGGTTATTATTACAACTCTTTAAAATAAGCATACCAGATTTTCAGTGAGAAGAGACTTGTAAGATACAACTCACCATATATACTGCCCCACATAAATGAAGATAGCTTTCTGATGTTATTGATAATTGACTGTTCTACTGCATATTTTTCTACCTTTTCTACCTGATCTTTTTGATCTCTCCTTATAGCAGATATCTCTAATTTTCTGTCTTGAGTTAACGATTACTCATATGCAATTTTAGTAATAGGAATTCATTACCCCTTCTAAAAATTAAAATGCGCTAATTAAACTAACTGCGTAATATCTGAGTTACTTCTTCATTTTCCTGTAAAAGAATGGACAGTAGGTCTTTCAAACTTACGGTTTAACCAGTTCATAATTTTTGTTTGCTCTGCTACTACTACAGCATTCTGCTAGAAATGCTGTCCAGATCGGAATGATGCAAGCAACATTTTGAGAAAACTCTACATAATACAGATAGTCACTTCTCAGTTTAAAAATTATTTACTGTATTGTATTAATAAATGTTAATTTTTAACACCCTATAGAAATTCCTTTGGAATGTACCTTGCACTTTACAGTATATCTGGCCTTTCCTTAAACTGATGATTGACTTCCACTGGTGTTTAAATACTGTGGTCCTTACATGAGGACTACAGTATTTAGCCCATACTTTCCAGTTTCTCTATTTTAGAGGCAATATTCCACAATGACCAAACTGCCGTGCGTTATCTATAATGGGACTATACTGCAATGGGAAATTTGTAAATAATAATCTGCAGAAAAGCGTGCATCCATGTCTGTGTACATTGGACCTAACCTTGTAGATGCTAAAGCTTGTGCACAAACATGAGACATGAATATGTAAGCTGTGATTTTCAAAGAAACATAAAGGAAATGGGTGTGCAGACATCACTGAAATTACATGCATAATACACCCTACAATAAATGTTTCCATTTGTTTGGTCTTCCTCTAAAATGTGGGCTATAATGTACCATGGTATACAGAAATCAAAGTTAAGCCTATGTCAAAATCACAACACAATATATTGTCAGTGTGACTTGATAAAATCAGAGTGGGGGAGAAAGAAGTTAATGTTTTTGTTTGAAGAACATACTTAATATTGACTGCAATGTAAAATTCCATTTTATGGTACTTTCTATATTCACATACTAATATTGTTTAAATTTCCATTACAAAAAACTGTCTAGAATTTGGAACTTCTCAAACATGTTTTAAAGGAATAATGCCTCTAACTTAAGTTTTCAGTATCAGCAAAGATATATCTTTAATGTTACCATGGGCCATCTCTCTGTCTAATATTAATTCCATATAGAATGTATTCTAAATCTGCTTACATCATTCCCTTTATAAAATAAGCTACGTATCAGTGCAGCCATTTTACTGATGTTATACTCCACATAGTGATAACATTAGAAGAGTCATAGAATGCTGTGGTCAAACTACTTTTACTTATTATAGTACTCATATTTGTCTGTTGCCAACAAAATGTGATGATGTGAAAGAATTGTTTTGAAAATTTGGATTATATTGTCAGTGTGATTCATTGGTGCAGTATTGTTTTATAACAGTATTGTTTTAAAAGCATTTTTTTTCACTTTAGTCCTTCAAAAAGATTTTTTTGGCTTTTATAGTGATTGGACATGTATGTGTACTGTACCAAAGTAATAAGTAGTTTCAAAATGCACAATAAATTCAGAAAATGCATTGGCAAGTGAGAATGCAAAATATCAGCTACTGCTCTTAAAGTAATGTGCTGCTCTTTTGGAAATAAAGAGACTTTAACTATCCTATAGAACTGATAACATGTGTTTTCATGTCAATGATAATGAAAAGTTTATTTTCAAACTTTTTAGATTTTACAGAGTTGATAGAATAACATTTACCTGAGACATGAAAATACATCTGTGCAGCTTGCTGTCGGTTTGGTCATGATGTTGGAAAATTATTTGTATTAATACATGCTGTTTGAAGTGTAATGTAAAATGCAGCCACATGATTGGAATAATTAAATGGTACAAAGTGTGGAAGACACCCACTCCTAACTTACTAAAATTTCATTTCAGAATTCTTATGTGTGGCTCAGAATAGTGGTCTAATAATTTCAGCAATTCCTTGTATGAAAATATCAAAATATTTTCAATAGGGAAAATGCACATGATGTAGTTTCTAATCTTGTGACCTCACCTGTAGTAGAGCAATTTGGCATTATAGATTGTAGATAATAAATTATTTTAATGTTGGAGCACGGAGTACATGCAAAATATTTTGGGATGCATTTCAAACATGAACATCTACTCAAAATAAATAAAATATGAAAAAAAATAATCAAGTGGGGTTTCATTCACAGAAATTAAATGCATCCAGTTCATCAGAAGGCAGCACAGTTGATGTCGGAGTACCTCCAGAAGGGGAGCAGCCAGAAGCAGAACCTGAAGAAGCTCTGGAGCCAGAGGCTTGTTTTACAGAAGGTAGGTGAAGCAAAATATATGCAAGGTGATTAGACCAAACTGTGTTGATTTGGGCTGGATTATTGATTTTTAGTAAAAATAGAAGCAGCTTTGTGATTGTAGTTGTATTTTCTCTTTGTATTAGTAACTCCTTCAGAGGTACTGCCATAGGTGTACTATTTTCTCTTGCTCTCTCTCTTTCAAAGGTATTGTAAGAGTTACAAAGCTTTAACTTCAAATCATAGAATGGTTTGGGTTGGAAGGGACCTTAAAGATCATCTAGATCCACCTTCTCTGCCATGGGCAGGGACATCTTCCACTAGCCCAGGTTGCTCAAAGCCCCATCCAGCCTGGCCTTGAACACCTGCAGGGATGAAGCATCCACAACTTCTCTGGGCAAAATGTTCCAGTGCGTCACCACCCTCACAGTGAAAAATTTCTTCCTAATATCTAATCTAAATCTACCCTCTTTCAGCCTAAAACCATTACCCCTCATCCTATTACTACATTCCCTAATCAAGAGTGCCTCCCCATCTCTCCTGTAGCCCCCTTTAAGTACTGGAAGGCTGCCCTAAGGTTTCCCTGGAGCCTTCTCTTCTCTAGGCTAAAACAACCCCAACTCTCTCTGTCCTGGTACAGGAGGTCCTCCAGCCCCCTGACCATCTTCATGGCCCTCCTCTGGACCTGCTCCCACAGGTCCATGTCTTTCCTGTGCTGAGGACTCCAGAGCTGGATGCAGTACTCCAGGTGGGGTCTCACAAGAATGGAGTAGAGGGGCAGAATCACCTCCCTCGACCTGCTGGTCGCACTTCTTTTGATGACTGAAACAAAAATCCTCAAATAGGAGATACTTATGTACAAGCATCTATTGCAGTAGTACTGAAATAAGTCAAATGAATTCTGTTCATTATGATTCCTAATAAACATTTACCTTGTTCTGACATCTCAAAATGTATTATCACACTTAGGCTGTGTGCGGAGATTCAAATGCTGTCAAGTCAGTGTAGAAGATGGGAAAGGGAAAATCTGGTGGAATCTTAGGAAAACCTGCTATAAGATTGTTGAACACAACTGGTTTGAGACCTTCATTGTCTTCATGATTCTCCTCAGCAGCGGTGCTCTGGTAAATTCAGTGTGAAACTATTATGTCTATTTTAAGCAGCAAGCATTTAGAATTATATTTAATTATATAGCTGCAGGTAGTATATCAGAATTTAATATCCAATTCATAAATGTTCTAGTGACAACATATATGAAAAAGCACTTGGCATGTATTGTAAGATATATATGAGTTTGCTCACAGGCTGTGAAACAAACAGTTTGGGAAGTTCAAAATGTAGTGTTAATGGAAATAAGAACTTAGTTGTATCAGCCTGGTATTCACATGTCTTCATTTTTATAATAATAGCTTTTTTTGTCTTATACACATTTAAAATAAACTGCAGCTTAGCTATGAACTTAGCAACAGCAACTTGAATTGTCAGACTGAGATGTAAGGTGGTAACGTGATTCTATCAGGTATTTTACCAGATTCATGTTAGATTAGGTACACTGAGTAAGTAATCAGTTCCGCATGGCAGGAGCAAAATATAGTGTGCTTGCCACACCTGGGTCAATACACAGTGATTCACTGTCAATGTAGACATTTTCTTTTGAAAATAACATTATTAATCTTTGTTCAGGATTGCTTTGTGAGTTAGTGTGTATAGTTTGGTTTCAATTATTAGTTCCTCAAAAATTCTGTATCACAGAGTCATTATTAAATCCCTCACATAATTTTTATATAAAGTTGTAGCTACCACAAAGGAAGTCCTTATGTCAATAAGCCATTACTGTCCATGGAAATGAACAAAAATGAGATTTGGTGAATCGTATTACAGCAAGTTTCATGGACCACTCTTCAGTTCAGATGAAAGCTGAATATTGTGTTTGGAGCCAGCTTTATGAGCAGACTACAGTATGGAGTGAAAGCAAAAGTTGTGCTTGAGGGAAGGATATATGCCTTATCATCACATACATCTTTCCAATTCAAATTCTTTCTTGGCTACTATATACCACACTGCAAATTGTGAAGACATTTAATTATATCATAAAAAATCTTTTTCACAGGCATTTGAAGATATATACATAGAGCAACGTAAAACTATCAAGACCATGCTGGAATATGCTGACAAAGTTTTTACTTATATCTTCATTCTGGAAATGCTTTTAAAATGGGTGGCTTACGGCTTTCAAACCTATTTCACTAATGCGTGGTGCTGGCTGGACTTCCTGATTGTTGATGTATGTATGCTTTTTCATGTCCTGTACGACAGGCTCTAAAAATCAGAATATTATGTTTTCAGGATAATCTTTCTGTTCTATGGAAATTCTATTTTAAAACTGTTGCTGTGATATCATTTATAATTCTGTTCAGAAAAGAAAAAATATTCATATATATTTATTACTCTAGAGATGTTTTGTTGATATTTGCTAGTTTTGTTAAGTTATAATGCTTTATTATAATGATGCTTTTTACTATTTTTTTTTTCACTGTGTGGAAAGGATGCTGTTTATCCTCTTCAGTTTTTGCTACATATGGAATTTTAATATTTCAAAGCAATTTACTGAAAGGTTTCTAACATTCTAATCAATTACTGTAAGTGTTCTGTCACTTACTCTGTGTAATATAAAAGCAAAAGACTGCTATGAACTCTCAGTTCCATTGTACTATTCAGTACTCTTGCACTTTTCACTGCATCACATGGGCCACCTTAAAGAGACACTTGCGGAACTGTAGATGAGCTCACTTTGAATGGGTTCTCAAATTATTTTCAAAAGGCTGCACCACCAAGCAGCAGATACACATTCTCTGAAGGAGACCTACTGAGAAGTGCATTGTAATTTCAGGTCTACATGTTCAACAATGTATGCACAGTACTGGGTAGAATAAATGGGAGTCTACAGATCTTTAATCATATAGCAGATGTTAATTTCCCTTCCATCCCCCATAGCCTGACTACATCTGTCTGTGCTAATAGGGCATCTCTCAGCTCCATGCATGTAATCCCATAGAATGAAAGGTAAGAATGTGTCTTGAATCACTTGTTCGCTGATTCCGAAATGCAGCAGAATTCTCTTTGCTATGTATCTCCCTAAAGCTACAATGACATGATAGACCATGAAGTCTTTACTATAAAGAGTTTGGAAAACATTATAACTTTTAAATCCATAACAGCATTGCAGAACCTATGACAAAACATGACAATATGCACACTTAGTATTCCATGGTTGAGTCTGTACCCTTGTGAAACATTTATTGGCTCAATCATCAGATATGTAAATTACCATGACGAGTAGGCAGAGACCCTGTGGACAATATTTTACACTGTCATTATGTGTTTATTGCATTTATCAACAAATGTTTAATTCTTATTTGATAATCTGTGGTTTAGTTACTTCTGTAAACCTTAAAAATAATTTTTTTTCATGGCAACGTTACCCTGGCACAATTTTTTTGCATGGAAAAAGGTAATCTCTGAAGCATTTTTTTGTTAATCTTCGTTCAGAGGACTGAGGTAACAAAGCAAAAAGATGTGTTTGGAAATGAAAGAATTAAGAGAGCACAGAAAGGATGGAAGAGAAGGACATTAAATGGAGGGAAATACAAAATGGTTTGGGTTTTTTTTCTTTACTAGGGCCACTCCTTCCCAATGGTTTACTATAAATACATTTCTAAGGATTATTGATGAAAGATAATTGTATTATTTATTTTACAGCTATTCTAGTTTATTTACTCATCTGCCTGCAGACCAGACCAGCATTATGCAAGCCAGAATTCATGAAGTGGTTAAAGGAGTCACAGGGAATGTAATGAAGTGTGGATATGCCTAACAATGAAGCATCTACCATTGTCTAACAAACAGTTGGTTATCAGTCTTGATTAGTCTGGTTAAATTTGAACAGCACTGGTAGCTATGGCTGTTGAATAAGATTTTCTGAACGCTAGAAAGTTCTAGTTGACCAAAGGCCAGGCCTAGATCTGGTTTTTGAGAGTTTTTACATTCTCATCAAGTTCTGAAGATATCATGGGAAGTCCTGATCTAAATTGACCATTCCAATTCACCCAGCTTTTGGGAGTTTTATTTTTGCATGTAACTTCATTTTTCTTTAAATACCACCAAATGTTGACTTGCTTATGTTAATTTAGAAGGTATTTTTATACCATTCTACCAACATGATTTCATCAACAGGTACCTAGAATATACTTCTAATCTATTTGTCTGACTTGAAAGATCTTTCTGCATTACAGAGGGATTCCTGGAGAAACAGGTCCAGCCTTGAATCTTCTTGAGAAGTTCAGGGCATACATCATTCCCACAATATGTATTAAAAGGATATACAGGATGAATGAGCAATATTGCCTTTCTGTTTTTGTGTAGGTCTCTTTGGTTAGCTTAACAGCTAATGCCTTGGGCTACTCAGAACTTGGTGCGATTAAATCCCTTAGGACACTAAGAGCTTTGAGACCTCTAAGAGCCTTGTCGCGATTTGAAGGGATGAGGGTAAGACAACATGAAAGAATCTGAAATAACGCATGCATACACAGAAATAATGCATGCAGAATAATCAACGAGAAATCCATGCAGAAATGCTACACTATCATCCTATATATTTTACATTTATCACTAACATATAAGCAAAAGGCTTCATCTGCTTATATGAATTCATGTGGTATGCACACATTGTTACACTTATTTAGCCTCCTTGGCCTTTCACCCTATTTCATATTTTCCTGGAGGGCCCAAGGATTTATCAGCTGCATGGATCTATTCAATGTTACTACAAAACTGAAAACTGAATTTATCCCAGACAAATAAATCCTGCTATAGTCAGAACAGTTTTAAGAAAACAATACTTCCTCATAAAAGTGTGTGCACACAGGTATATGCACATGTGTATTTCATACCAGTATAGAATATCATGTGTAGTCTATCAAATATCTTTTAACCTACTATTCTGTAAATATTAATTGGGAATTCCTGTTACAATTTAAAAGTTTTGTATTAACTCCCATGTTAGTAGGTAAATTGGCAGTGTTAAAATACCTTCTCTCTTTCAGATTAGGATTATTGCATTCTATTTAAAACAACTTTTCTAGTATATCAAAGATAGAGCTGGTTTTATGATTTCTGGCCTAAATTGGTTGCTTACTGCTTTCCATATTGATTGAAAAATGTAGCACTAAGCAGCCTGAAAATGCATTAGAATACTTTTTCTGACAGAGCTGGGTATATTTGAGGAGTTACTGTCCCCAGCTGTTTTTTATCACCGTATCAGTTACCACAGCTGAGACTCTCAGCTGCCCAACTGAGCTCTCTCCATCTATTCCAGTGTAAAGTCAGACTTACTAGTTCAGATCACTTCTTTAGTGCACTGAAATGGACAAAGACCTTATGTATTCTGCTATGATGTGAAAGCTCTAGAAATGTTTCTCTTAGGGGCAGTACTCAAGAACTGGTGATGGCAGACATTTCTAGCTCCAGCCACAAGAAGGTGTCTGACTTACACCTTCAGGGTCCATCTGTCTGCCTTGGACATATTGCCATAGATCTAATCAGCAGATGCACCTGAGCTGAAACCCTGTTGCTGTAATTAAAAGGGATCCTTGTGTGAGCTCCCTACTGCAATCACTGATCTTTGGCACCCCAGGTTATAAGCTGACTAGCAAATGTATAAGTCAACGACAAATTGGTGAGCTTCTGAAGAAAATGTGAATGCTATATGTGTGTGGAAAGTAAAAGACTTCAGACAAAAAGGAAACAGGCTTTGATGAAAGGTTATAAATTTAAAGAGAAATTACCACTTCCTTGCCTCCAACAAATTCCTGGAACTGTGCTGAAGCGTCTTTGAGAATTTGGGATGTTTATATCAGATAAATAGGCCTAAATAATCTCAATAGTGTCTTGCTAAAAAACACATTAGCTGTTGTTTTTTTTATGGGAATGATTTGCAAAAAAAACTGAATACAAAATATTACAAATTTTATGTGCACAGTAAATTGATTAAGTGGCAATTTAATGTGGCAAGGAAAAAAACAGTCACTTTGTCATGAAGGTTTATGGGTAATTTTCAATCCCATAACTTCCATGTTGGTGTAAACTTTACCTACTGATGTAATCCTGATCTGCTAACTGTACCTCTTTGTAAAATACCCAGAGAAGGAGGAGATTTAAGACTTTAGCAAAAGATATAATAAAAAGTAGTGGATGAAGTTAGTCAGACTAGAAATGTGACCTATATTTTTATTAGTTAGGCAATTAATCATTGACATTTTCCTACCGATATAATGAATTTTTACTTATTTAAAGTAATTAATTTCAGGCTTAATGTCTTTAAAAATACAGTAGCTCAAGTTGGTAAAGAAATACACGGACATTCAAGATGTCTGTTCATAACATGTTAAACACCAATGAAATTACAATCTATAAACTGAAAATACGACAATATAGCATGGTGCACATATTTGCATAGGCACTTAAAATTACTTCCAGTGACCATTATACTTCCTATATACAAGCAAGAAGTTCTGTTCTACACATCTATAATTTTTAATCCGCCATACTATTCTTTAGGATCAAGATGTGTGCCTGCCCAAACTACTAATTAATAGAAAACATTGCAGCTATGGAAGACATGATGTTCCCCTGCATCTTCCCATCACTACTATTGCTAGGGGAAATACACTTTAATTTACACCTGGGACTTCAGGAAAGTAGCCTGTGGGAGTATAATTAATCTGTCTATGCTCCGTCCCAAGCAGTTTCACTCACTGATATGTGGTGCTAGGTACATACTACCTTTTATTTAACCAGTAAAGAAATATTTTAATGTCTTCCTAATGTTTTCCCTATTTTCCCTTGCTGTCAGGCCTTTCTCTCTTTTCTCACACCCCTACTACCAATGGAAGCTAGGAGGTGTCTGGATCAGTGTTTTCAGTGATGCTCAACAGCATGTTTTGAGTGTCTTCAAATGATTCATATTACAAGCTGGTCTTGCTGTAGCTTCAGGACTCAGACTAAAGCCAGAGAAAGTAGGTCAGCTGGAGAAATCCAGCAATTAAAGAAAGAATAACACGACTGGACCTGCAGCTATAGCAGAAAGAGGAACAGCATTCTTGGGTGTAATAAGACTGAAAGCTCGAGGACAAATATTTTCACTTCATTAACTATCCCTTTATATCTCAATAATTATTCCTGACAGGTGATATTATTACATTTAAGAAATATACTTATATTTTTAAGTAGAAGAATTGAGATAACTTTAAATTAAAAAGTAAAAATAATAACTAATATATGTTTACAAAATATTCCTGAATTGGGAAAAAATTATGTCACCATTTAATATTCCAGTCAAACTTATTGGTGAGTTCATAAATTTCCAATTTAAACTAATACTGCATTATTATTAAACTTAATTTGTTTAGGTCAAACTACTCCTCACGGCCTTCCACAGTCATGGCATTGACAAAGCTGAGAGTATAGGTCTGTAAACATAAGATAGCACCGTTGAAATACTCAGAAGAGATGTATCCATTAGTCAGGGAATCCTCTCTGCCTGGCTGATGGGTGTTAAGATGTTATCTTATTTTTGCTTATTGATTTATAATAGGTATTGCTAAGGAGATTTTTAGTATAAGTAAGAAACTATTTTGATTTTTTTTCTAATTTCCCATTAGAAATAAACATTTATTAAAATGTGATTTAAAATATATGGCAAAACAAAGCATGGAAGATTTGGACTTCATCCACCGTCCTGTGCTTTTATAGGTTCATGGAATAATTTACATTGAAAGGAACCTTATTTGGTCCAGTTCCTAAATTTAACATAACAACAATTTCCCTCAAATAGAATCCGATAGGGTCACTAATATTTTCCAAAGTATGTGTCACTCCAAAGAGGTATTGTTTTGGCATGAATGGAGCCCTGAGTAAAACAAGCATTTCTCTTTTCCTTCATCACCTACTCTAACGTTCGAAGATTTTATTTTCTATTCTGTAAAATGGCAAGGAATAAAAGATGATCTACTTAGATAATTAATTTTACAAGTAATTTATTCTATAGAACCTATTAATTGTAGATATAAATATTATGCCAAAATATTTTACAAGCTTAAGCTACATATTTGTTTCAAATAGAAACAAATAACATAGTGTGCTAGAGGATTGTTATAGTACATCATATAAACCAAATGAATTATAAATAACCTCATCTGTGTAATATCTAATGTCCTGCATTTTTCAGACAAAATCTTCATTAGGTTCTAAGGATCTGATTCGGTTGTTTTCATAAAATTGGCAGTGGTGCTCCATAGTTATTAGCTTTTATATTGTTTATTTACAGATTTAAAATAGGAGTTAACTAATTTAGCAGTTCATCAATTTCATTGTTAAGTAAATCATTTTCATTCATAATGGACCTACTTTCTCACTGATTTTATTTTCTTTACTCTTATTTTTATTCTGGCATGTTTTTAATCATCATTCATCATCATACATGAACTCATGTTCATATTTTTTTTTTTCCTGAAGCCTGATTTTTCCCAAAATTCATTTGGAATTAAATTAAGTCTCTTCCTTCTTCAAGTCTTATCTGCCACTTGCCTGGACACTACCAGCTTTTCTGTGTTCAGATACTCAGCTGGTTTCCTCATTTGAACGTGTCTGCTTTTGTGATTTTATATATAACCATTCAAATTAACATGTATACATCCTTGAGTTTTCTTTTATTTAAAATAAATCTTAAAATTACTGTCAATTAAAAATGTTCTCAGTAATATTGATTTGGACTATTTATCCAGTAAATGTATAATAGTAAAAAAATTTGTTGTGATTGATGCAATATCAGTCATTAGAGATATTATGGATATGGTTTTGCAGACATACATTAGGAAAATATTCTAAAAATAATTAGTAAATTATAATTTTTTTGTTTTTTGGGGTTTTTTTTAATTCATTTTACCTGTTTGTTCTTCTTTTTCCCATTCTTTAAAGCTACCATTTGCTACTGTTTGTATGTTTTTCCATCTAATTATGTTGACAGTTTATCTTTACTCTGTACTGCTTTTCTTACTTGTTACTCTCAACAATTTAAAAAGTGTAACACTGATATTAGAATTAAAATAGAGTGTTACATTTCAGAAAGGCTGATGAAGCATTTTTAAGATACTAATGCCTGTGTTCTTACCCTATGTGTCTTCGGTTTCATTTGTACTCTAGGTGGTTGTGAATGCCCTCTTAGGAGCAATTCCATCCATAATGAATGTGCTTCTTGTTTGCCTTATATTCTGGCTGATCTTCAGTATCATGGGAGTAAATCTATTTGCTGGAAAATTTTACTACTGTGTTAACACTACAACTGATGAGAGGTTTGATATCAGCCAAATCAACAACTATAGTCAATGTGAGGAGCTCATAAAAAACAATGAAACTGCCCGATGGAAGAACGTGAAGGTGAACTTTGACAATGTAGGCCTTGGTTATCTTTCTCTGCTTCAAGTGGTAAGTCACCAATCCTTAATTTCTGTTTCT